TGGGAATTGAGAAAGGAGCGGTACTTCAAGAAGCTAGAGTCTTTAATGACCCTCAGGTTGATCCTCGACGATGCTCACAGGTCATCACCAAGCTTCTTTATTTGCTTAACCAAGGGGAGTCATTCACCAAGGTCAGTTCATTTTTGTTATGTGGGTTCGGTTTCATGTTTATGGAGAATTGTATTGTGTTCTTATCCTCTCGCCATGGTCCTTTGTTTCATATGCAGGTCGAAGCAACGGAAGTTTTCTTTTCAGTTACAAAGCTTTTTCAATCTAAAGACACAGGTTTGAGGAGAATGGTCTACTTGATCATTAAGGAGTTATCTCCATCATCTGATGAGGTCTGCAAATCTTACTCAATTTCAAAACGAAAATCATGGCACTTATTTATTGTAGGTATATTTTCTGATAAGTTGTTTGGTTTTTCGCCCATAGGTTATCATTGTAACAAGCTCCCTGATGAAGGATATGAACAGTAAAATTGATATGTATCGAGCAAATGCTATTCGTGTCCTCTGCCGGATAATAGACGGAACCCTTCTCACTCAAATTGAGCGATACTTGAAACAAGCCATTGTGGATAAGAATCCCGTTGTTTCTAGTGCAGCTTTAGTCAGTGGGCTTCACTTGCTAAAGGTACCTTTTACACACCAAAACTATTAGGTTGCTTCTTAATTGTAATGTTATGCTTATATTCTTATATTGTTGTTTTCAGACAAACCCAGAAATTGTTAAAAGATGGAGCAATGAGGTTCAAGAAGGTATTCAATCAAGATCAGCCCTTGTTCAGTTCCATGCCCTAGCTTTGCTCCATCAGGTTAGTTTGTTGCATTATTATTACCGAAGTCAATTGGTCTATGTTTCTACTCTTTGTTTAATTAAACAGCCACTGAGAAGAAATATCTCGGAAAACGAGAGGTGTTACTATGTGTATTGGACTAGATTCTTAAATAATAATTTCTCTGTGACGGCACGCTCTTTAGTCTTTACTATGGTCGTTTCCAGCAATTTTATTTTCTTGTGAAATCTGTGTCTGGAGTCTCTCTCTGATACTGCTGATTCTAGCATATGTAAGTTATTAGGTTGGAAGGACAACCTATTTATGTGTCTAAGATGTACGAGATAGCAAATGATATGTATCGCTGCTGTTACATTGATTTAAAAAGACTTTCAAAATGATACACTCTCCTTATTTATAGTTGTAGTGAGAATTGATCTAATAGTTGTTGACAATCTTTCATCATATTCAGATACGCCAAAATGATCGCTTGGCTGTTAGCAAGTTGGTTGGTAGCTTGACCAGGGGATCTGTCCGCTCTCCCTTGGCTCAGTGTCTTTTGATACGTTACACCAGCCAGGTTATTCCTCTCTTCTGTTTGATCATTTGATATGTGGCTGATAGTATATGTGTTATTTAGCTCTGGTTTCTATATTATTCAGGTTATCCGTGACATGGCCAACCACGGTCAGTCTGGAGAACGTCCGTTCTATGAATTTTTGGAGAGTTGCCTGCGCCATAAGGCAGAAATGGTGATCCTTGAGGCTGCCAGGGCGATCACTGAGCTTGATGGTGTGACAAGCCGAGAACTGACTCCAGCAATCACTGTTCTTCAGCTCTTTTTGAGTTCCCCCAGACCAGTGTTGAGATTTGCTGCTGTCCGGACTCTGAACAAGGTTTACAATACTTTCTTAGATCAAAATCTTCATAAAAAAATAATTCTTTCAACTCTTCTCTTTGTACATTGAGAAACAACGAAATGATGTTATATTTTTCTGGGTAGATTCATCATTACCTTTATCATGAGGATAAAGAGATGTTTCACTGTACACTAAACGCAAGTTTGAACCACAGGTTGCAATGACTCATCCTATGGCTGTCACCAACTGCAACATTGATATGGAGAGCTTAATCTCTGATCAGAATAGAAGCATTGCTACACTCGCAATAACCACACTCTTGAAAACAGGGAACGAATCAAGTGTAGAACGCTTGATGAAGCAGATAACTAATTTTATGTCAGATATTGCTGATGAGTTCAAAATTGTGGTCGTGGAAGCAATAAGATCGTTGTGTGTGAAATTTCCACTGAAATACAGATCCTTGTAAGTGAAGTTTTAGGGTGTGTTATTTGTCGTTTTGGTCTCGAGCATTTCTATTCATTTCAATTGATTGAATGCTATGGTGTCTTTATAGCATTTGGCTTATGATTAATCTATCACCTTTTCATTTGTAGGATGACCTTCTTAAGCAACATTCTTAGGGAAGAAGGTGGATTTGAATATAAAAGAGCAATAGTAGATTCTATTGTGACCATTATCAGAGATATTCCTGATGCAAAGGAAAGTGGATTGCTTCATCTTTGTGAATTCATTGAAGATTGTGAATTCACATATCTTTCAACACAGGTAATTGTTCCATCATCCATCTGGGGTTACTATTATAAACTTGTGGTATTGAAATGTGTTTTGTTGCACAGATTCTTCATTTTCTGGGAATTGAGGGGCCTAACACCTCAGATCCAAGCAAGTATATACGATATATATATAATCGTGTGCATCTAGAAAATGCCACTGTCCGGGCTGCTGCTGTTTCCACACTTGCAAAGTTTGGGTTTATGGTTGAATCCTTGAAGGTATAGTTATCAAATTAACCATTATTATTTTTTTCTTTTATATTCTTTGACTGATGATAAAGAGCATAATCAATGGATACTCGACAGCCCCGGATTACTGTTCTGTTGAAGCGTTGCATCTATGACAGTGATGATGAGGTGCGTTTCTAGTCTTAGTGTATAAAAGCATTGCTGTTTCTGTATGTCTACCCTTGAGTTGAGTCGTTGCATCATTAAACATGCATGCTTGTATTTGCCTCTGTGAATATTTCTGATGCATGCAATGCAAGTTGTTCGATGATTCCTTCCTTGATCATGAGTTACAACCTATTTTTATCTTAAAGGTCCGTGATAGGGCAACACTATATTTGAGTGTTCTTGGTGGTGATGGTACTGTTGACACTGATAAAGAGAGCAAGGATTTCCTATTTGGTTCCCTGGAGGTTCCTCTGGTCAACATGGAAACTAGTCTGAAGAATTATGTGAGTTATCTTTCTCGGTTTTCTTCTTTTCAATACTTCTTAGGACATCAGTTATCTTATATCTTTGATCCTGCAGGAGCCCTCTGAAGAAGCTTTTGATATCAACTCCGTGCCTAAGGAAGTTAAATCCCAGCCCCTTGCAGAGAAGAAAGCCCAGGGTAAAAAGCCCACTGGTCTTGGTGCGCCGCCAGCTGCACCTGCTTCTGGTTTTGATGGCTATGAAAAACTTCTCTCATCTATTCCAGAGTTTACCGCCTTTGGAAAACTTTTCAAGGTTAGGGCTGATTTGGCTTCTGTGTCATTCTAATGTTAATGGCTTACCTTGTTTGCTTAAACTTGGTACTTCCTTTTTCAGTCCTCTTTACCTGTGGAGCTAACTGAAGCAGAAACAGAATACGCCGTTGATGTTGTTAAGCATATCTTTGACAGTCATGTGGTGTTTCAGTACAACTGCACTAACACCATACCAGAGCAGTTGTTGGAGAGGGTACTGAACATTGGTGTAGAATATTAGTGTAAAGCATATCTTATTCTTCTTTCCTCATTTCATTAATTTTAGCATGGGTTTGTAGGTCAATGTGATTGTAGATGCTTCAGAAGCAGAGGAATTCAGTGAAGTAACTTCAAAGGCCCTAAATTCACTTCCTTATGATTCACCCGGTCAAGCCTTTGTGGTTTTTGAGAAGCCAGCTGGGGTCCCTGCTATTGGAAAGTTCTCCAACACATTGACTTTCGTTGTTAAGGAGGTACATGTTGAATAGGCTATCCACTTCCATCTTTTTATTTACATACGCGCTAAAGGTTGAAAATGATCCCATAATAATTTGTGGAGAACTCTGATAAACAACGACTCATTTGGAGAGGAGTACCATGACTCAAATAAATCACAGAAAACAAAGAAAACTTTTTGACTACATTGTTTGTGCTTTTATAAATATGTTAAAACAGGTCGACCCAAGCACAGGTGAAGCAGAAGATGATGGAGTAGAAGATGAATACCAGCTAGAGGATCTTGAGGTTGTAGCTGGAGATTACATGGTGAAAGTGGGTGTCTCCAATTTCAGGAATGCATGGGAAAGCTTGGATGAAGAAGATGAGCGCGTCGACGAATATGGCCTTGGCCAAAGAGACAGTTTGGGAGAAGCTGTAAAAGCTGTCATCGATCTTCTTGGCATGCAGACTTGTGAGGTTAGTCTCTTCCACTTTTTTCTCATACTCGATAGAGAAACTACTAAACTGACCCACTGAGAGACTTGAGGGCTAAGATTATTGTTGATAAAGTCATTTTGTTGTGTTCCCGAAATTGAAACTGACACTGGAGATACAAATGACAGGGGACAGAGACAATTCCGCTCAATGCAAGGTCACACACGTGTCTATTGTCAGGTGTGTACATAGGGAACGTGAAAGTGTTAGTGAGGGCACAGTTTGGAATGGACAGCTCAAAGGACATTGCAATGAAGCTGACAGTTAGAGCTGAGGACGTTTCTGTAGCTGAGGCCATTCACGAGATTGTTGCCAGCGGTTAAACCTCTCGCGTTTCTTCAATATCAAAAGAGTGTTACTATTCCTCCTGCTAAGATACCCACTTACCCAACCTCAAAATACATCAACTATTATAAATAGTATAGTATTCTTCTTTGTTTTTTCCTTGCATTATTACTGTCAAATACACTATGGAAGTTTTCGTTTTATTATTTGACGGTGCTTTTTGATTTCTCATTTCTGAATTTTATCATTACCCGTTTTCTCGCCAAGTGAATACATAAAGAAGTTGGGAATCTACATTGCTCGGATTTGAAATCAAACCAGTACCGTAAGCAAATCTAAGTTGAGAAACGGACCAATCCAACTAACCAGGTAGAGTTAAATGGTCTGCGTTCAATTTCAAGAGATAATAGTAAAGACTGGTGAGCACAATTGATTACAGACAGAATTCACATTGAGTAGCGTGTTTAGGAGTTTAGTAAAAAGGAGACTGAAGAATAAATAAATCAAAGCACACTCTAACAACAAGGGAAGTTTGATCCTTCTAACCACTCCACTATTTCAAACCAAACACCTTCTGCTCTTCCACATATCGCGACTTTACTTCCCAAATACAGAATATATTAACCAACCACCACCACAACTGGAGACATGACTCCTACGTTTGTTAATCTTCTTCAAATTACTCTCCTGTGCCCTCCAAACGCCCATATCTGTGTAAATTCAACCAAAATTCGTAAATCCTCGAATTTCTTACAAACATAACATATGATATGATAAGTAGAGACACTAACCTTTAGATTTGAATCCCAACTTCCTGTACACAAGGCACTTCCATCTGCTGACAACCCCAAACAGCTTATCCGATTCTTGTGTGAATCCTGCTGTAATCCCAAATCCAATACAACCTGCAAGAAAACGCCCCACGCTTCAATCATAAACCTTACAATGAGCAAAAACAACTCTCACCGCTCATTACTCAACATACTAATTGCTTACCTCTCCCAAGAGAGTATCCCAAACGTAACAAGTGTTGTTGCTGGCATAGCCAGCGAAAAGAAGTCTCCCTGAGACAGAGAATGCAATGGAGGTGACAGGTACGTTCTCACCATCACCATGTGGCTGATAGACCTGGAGTTGGTGACCAGTCCTTATGTCATACAACCTGCATGTTCCATCGTCTGATCCAGTCCCAAATCTATACCCATCCGGAAAGAACTTGACCGTATTAACATCTCCCTCGTGTCCATGAAAGGTACGTACTGCTCGGCTTGCAGCACGAGTGTCCCACAACCGTGCTGTGGAATCGCATGAACCAGATATGAACCAATTTGGGTTTGATCCACTGATTGAGACACTGCAAGAATGGGGCAAAATCACCGTGTAAGAGGGCATGAGTTTATATATCATCTATGTTAGCTTTTATACACAAGTCAAAGTAACGTTTCTATTCTATAAGACCAAACCTATAGGTTGATTCCAACACTCGATCCAAATGGTATGGTTCTGGAAGATTAAGTAGTTTCAAAGATATGCTACAGTATTAAACAAACCGATGCCAAGAAGCCAAGGAGATGAAAGCAACATCCATACCTTAGTACATCAGCAGTATGTCCAGACTGAAATTCACCACCAAAAACAGAAGTTTTGAGGCCAGTAGTCACATCCCATAAGATACATGTTTGATCACCTGAACTGGTGATAAGGTGGGCATCCTCATTTGGGACATACTGACAGCACGAAACATATCCCCTGTGACCAGTGAGCATTCTTGAAACCGGTACAGTTCCGTCCTTGTCCGCGGTTGAGCTAAGGCTGAAGATAGAACATACACTGTCTAATCCACCACACGCGACCGACTGACCATTTGGAGAGAAAGCACATGTCATAACCCATGCACAAGGGAGTTTAATAGCATGAGTTTTCTGACTCGTTAGAGCATTCCACACAATTAATCGTCCATCTTGAGATGCACTGACAATCCGGTTCCTCTCCGGTGTCCAATCCAATGAATAAACCTGCAAAGCCCACATGTTAACAACAAGCTAGCTCTCGTTTGAATTTACAAGTAACAATCACAATCAGCTCTCCGGCATCTCCTTTCCTACAATTCCGCAGGATCTTAACCAAATCCATCTGCTCTCCTCAAACATGATAAGTATTATGTTCCCCTAAAATGGTTACACTCACTTAACCCTTCATGACAAGCTACAAAACTCCATAAAGAAACATACTTTTTAAGGAAAAAAGACCACATTTTGCAGTCCCAATTCGTCAATCATACGGAAAAGCTAGTGAAATTCTGTAAAATAAATCTAACTGTGATCCAAATATTTCACTTTTGTAAGATAGAGAAAAAAGATGGAAACTTTGAGTCACCTTTCCGGTGTGTCCCTGAAGAGTACGACAACAAACCAGATCCGTTGCTCCGAAGCTCACCCGAGTACGTCCTTGCGCCGCAGAATACCTCGCCACTGCCAAAATTCAATCTCAATTAAAGAAGAAGAAGAAGATGAGAGAAGAAGAGAGACAAAAAAAAATCCCCAAACCATCGGTATCGAGGAGCTGAAGGCGTCTCTGTCTAAGCTGGTCACGGAGGTTATTAACGGTCTCCGTAGCGACGGCGTGACGTTCTTTGAGCTCGGAGACAGACATTCCGGGATCAGACTTAGGCTTCTCCGTCGCCGATCAAATTAAAGGGGGAAACTTTGCGGGTCTAGAAGAGAAGAAGGTTCATGATTGAGAGAGGGAGATCGAACCCTAGAAAGAGAGGATTTGGGGGAATTACGTGGGAAAAGAGGAGCTTGAAGAAGAAGAATCAGTCAGACACAAACAAACACGGCTCTCTTGTTGAATGTTGATGATGGCTCTCTGACCTGAGACTAGATAGAGAACATAGAGCGAGAAGAGAGAGAGTCAATAGACATTGACTGTTCCCCATTAATGTGGACCCCACTCACTATGATTAAACGACGTCGTCGTTTTCGAGCTATGAGATTATTTTTCGATTCGATAGAACGAATTTGTAGGATGTGTTTTATACATTGTTTTATAGTTGTGATTGATGTATCGTTATGCTGCAGATTAAAATAAATTAATGTAGGATATTCTTTTGAGAAACTTGATTTATTTATATACAAAAAAGATAAACATGTTGCTTGTTTTTCTACGTTTATTTCGTCTTATAGACAGAGCGGCCATGAGTACAAGCCAGCAAAGCTGGTGCTTGCGGCCCCCATAAATTTATATATTAAATCGGCCCCTTTTTTGGCGAAAGTCCCTTAGTTCAGCTGGAAACATATTAGCAATTCCTCTATTAGGTCACTAGTTCGATCCTCAGCAGAAGAGAAAATTTTTTTTTTTTTTTCAAAGGTAATATCAGCCAAAAAAAATTTTTTTGCTTGTAGCCACCTAAACTTCAGGGACGGCTCTGCTTATAGATTATGTTATTCGCTAGTTTCATATAATCATTCTATGAAAATTGGTTAAACATATATTAGTAGTATCCAACAAAATATTATCTCAAGAGCAAACAAATTAAAAGACAATTAGATTAAATCCTTGAAATCATAAAAAGAAACACAAATCATTAAACAAAAAAAAGTAGACGAAGTGATCATCATCTACATTATTAGAAGTTGAAAAAAAAACACACACCAACGAAAGAAAGAAAAAGAAAGCTAGTTAGGTTTTTGATTCATCCGATCATTCAAAAGCCCATTGATTCTCCCTACGAACCTCTTCTTCTTCCTCGGGTGTAAAATCATTCTTAATGTTGAAAAGTGTACGAATCTCTTCTGGATTCTTGCCTTTGATCATATCCGCAATAGTTTGACATGTGAGATCAAGCAAGTTTTTGATGTTTAGGTAATTCGCAGCAAGAATGAGATCAAAGATCGTGGATTGATCGATTTCCAAGAACTCCGTGTCCCACTTATTGAGTTCATCTTCGGAGATAGGGTTAGCCTCATCGACGTGGTGCTTCTTGCAGTACTCGATCACTTTCGCAAGAGTCTTGCTTGTCACGTTTGCAAGAGGGATTCCATTAGCGGCGCAATCGTCTTCAACCATATGTGCTATGGTCTGCGATTGGACTGCTACCGCTTCTTCGACCTCAAACGACTGACCATCGGAGCTCATCAACACGATCATCTTCGACGACATTGTTAAACACGAATTTGATGAAGGATTTAAGAGTTTAGAGAGCGATTGAATTTGTGTGAAGGTAATGAAGTTATGAACCCTATGCGGCTTTGTATTTATAAGCCCTAGATAGTCGGTGAGATCAACAATTCCTTTTTTAAGAAGGAAATAGATATTTTCCTTAACGAAGAAAATAAGTAAATAGATATTTGTCGACTCCTTTTCATAAAAATTGAGTATAACCAAAATAAACCGGGTCAAATTTACATTATTGAAGGTTCGGCTCAAATCCTTTTTTCTCGAGACCAAAAATTTTTAGGGTCGGTGGGATCAACAATTCCTTTTCAGAAAAGGTAATTCAGTAGAGTAAACCAGCTAAACCGTGATAAATTTACAATAGGCCCAATTTTGAAGGTTCGGCTCAAATCTTTTTTCTATTTTATTAACCAAGATTATACATTACTAAAATGTACAATTTAAGAGGGATATACGGTTTACAAAAAAAAATAAAAAAATGAGGGATATACATTGGAATTTAGGAAACTATCCAAAGCTAACCAAAATATTCAGATTCATATATAAGAAACCAAAAGAAGTCTAGTAGATATAGCCGTTGCAGACTATATATTTATTAGAGATAGAATGTGTGTAACCATTATAAAACTAATAACAAACTTGATTACACTAATACAGAGGAAGAAGAGGAAGAAGTCGGCGTAATTAATTAATTACTTACCTCCAAGAGCTAATCGAGCCATTTACATATATACATGGAAGATTAGGGACAAAAAGATGAGTAGAAAAGATAGAGAAGAAGAGACTTTTGGATCAATTGCTCCATTCTTCTTCTCTACTTTGTCTGAGCTCACATACTTGTTCATTACTGCTTTACTTCCTGCTGCTCCTCCTCCTCCTCCCGGATATACGCAACTGTTGTAACCTATCAAATTCAGATTCAAATTTAAATTAGTATTATGGATTTTTGCTATTGTTCAATGGTTGATATTAGCTAGAAAACTAAGTATACTCAATGTGATTTTACAACTAGTCCTAAAGCATGTAGAAAACTGATTCTTTCGTCATTTAAAGCGTTTACACGGCCTACAATAAAACAATATAGAAGAGAATTGATCATTGTTTTCAACAAACAAAAGCAATCATCAATTTGTTACACCTATACACTTAAGTTGAAACTATATATTATTGGAAGGGTGTGAAAGTTACGGGGAGAGAAAACTTACTAGGGTTTTGGGAAGTGACTGTTGCGGTTTTAGAGAAATCGCAGTCTGTAGACTGCTTAGGAGATTTCTGAAAATACATATTCATGGCATAAGCTGCGTGAGAGGCCACATTGTTTGGCTCGAAACAAGCCCCTCCTGGCTGTATCGCACCACAATCTATTCCTTGTCCGCACGCCCAATCCAAGCTTGCCTGTAACTCCTCATTTGTCGCACCCTTCTTCGGTACACACCACCCCGACGATGTCACTTTTCCTGATGGTGTCTAATTTTATGATCAAAACATATAACCTCACAAATTAAAACCTTGTTATTAATTCGCATTTGCGTTTACATGTTATAATAGATTACTTTTTGCAAATAAACCACAACTTCTAGTATCTAACCTGACTACTACTGCTACTCTTGGCAAGGCCTACATCGTAGACCATGGAAAGATCAGTTTTGAAAAGCCCGAAAGCCCGTTCTGAAGAAGGTCCAGGCTTTAGATTCTCATCATATAGTGCGAAAAGGTAAGTGTCAACAGGTTTTCCAGGCATGAGGGGTGTGCCAACCATAGACCTTAGATGAGCTATTAGGTTTCCGTTGTAAGCTTTGGCGTTATCCACGCTTGCTCCAACCTCGTTAGCGTCCCCTCTTGACGCCCAACCTGTTTCCGCCACCACGATCTCCACCTTTTCGAATCCCATCGATTTCAAAGCCGAGTGAACTGCATCAACCTAAGAAATAATGAAAGGAGTTTACACAGTAACTTGTGTTGGAAGCAACGACAATGAACAAAGACTTCTTTTACTAGTACTTTGTTACGAAGACATAAATAGGACCTGAAACGTCACCATTTTTTAATTTTGTTTGTTTTATTGATTTTAGTCGACGCTGCTTACGTGGATTTAATGATGACTAGTGCAAACAAACAAAACAAATGTTTCAAGAAACATCTAAAATAAGAAAACAACTAGTGCGAATCCAGTCTGTCAGACAATGGGCAAACGAGTGACATGTCATCTCACGCATACTTATTCCCTGAGAAGATAATTATTAACATCATCATCAAATGAATTGAAAAATAAGTATTACAAGTACCAAATACTATTAAGCAGAATTCTTACTTTATAGATTGTGTATGTGAAAGAAAGTGTAATTCAGACACATACGTGACCAACTGTCTTTTGTACTATATAATAAGAATATAGATTCCTTCTAAATGAAAAAGTAGAGACAGAACAAGTTCCTTGCTACAATCTAGTGCAAAGAAATTTTGAAATAACATATAAAAACCTAAAGTTCAAACTATAGATTCGTCCACGTGAATACAGCCCATTATTATTATTCTCATATTTTGTGTCACAACAATAAATTACTAGAAACTAACCGACCTAGATAAACTATGCTTTTAAACGTCTAATTTGAAATCATTTAGATACAAATCAGTCCACCAAATTCATAACAAGAGATTAGCTACTTTGTTAAAGTTTAATTAGTTACTACCAAACACAAATGAATTGATTAGTTTTTTGATCCAACCCGAAAAAAAGCGTGGAGCCAACTGTAATTAATGTACCTGAGCATCGAACATGTTCGTGTACTTGATTCCGGTTTTGGAGTCGACCCGTCCGGCGTTAGGCTGAAAGAGACAAAACGCCAGCGTTTCTGGTCTCGGGTCACTTTGGTACGCAAAGAACGGGTACGGGTTAATAGCAAAAGGTGAACCAGTGTCGCTTAAAAATTGCAAAATTCCTTTTAAACCGGTTTGATAACCGGCCGCAAATGAACCGGTCGATGGCGGGTCTGAACTACCGAGCACCGTCATCGAGTGCACCGTCGAGACCTTGATTTTCCCGCCGAGAGACACCGCCTCAAGGGCTTTTTGGACATTTTGCATCGCTGGAAGTAGCTGATTCACCAGATTTGGATCGTTCGACATCAAAATCTGCAATGATCGGAGAAGAATTGAGGAATTTTCTCGAGAAAGGTTTAAACTTTAACAATTGAATTTTGACGGACCTCGTTGCCGACGGTGATGAGGATGATTTTGGAAGCGGGATAAAAAGGAAGGACATTGGAGTTGATCCATTGAGTGGCGGCGTTAGGATCGGTGGCGAGAGAAGGAACGTCGCCGTTAGCAGCGCCGATGACGATACCAACCCCTGTTCCGGCCAAAGCTTTGATGATGGCGGGATCGGCGCCGTAGAGTCGAACTTTCTGAATTGAAGTGGATTGGAGGAGCTTGGCGGTTTCTGAAGGAGGAGGGAGATTGTCGGCGACTTGGCCGTAGTTAACTCCGATGAAAGGCTCTGCATCTGTCGGTAACAAAAAAAAACAGAGGAAGAGAGAAAAAAGGTTAGATGATGAAGAAAGAAGAAACGACGTCGTGGTGAAGAACTAGAAGATACTTACGTGAGGAGGGGAAGTGAGAGAGGAAGATGAGGAGGAGAGAGATGGAGATGGAGAGAGCCATTGATGGTGAGAGAGAGAGATTTGAGAATTGTGTTGTTGTTACTTAACGAAGAGGTTTTTACTGTAACGGTTATATACTAACTCCAAAGACACGTTTGTGCTCGATTTTCCACACTACACGTGTTGACTTCTGTTGTTAGTCTTGAGCGAAAGTCTTCGTTTCGGTCTTTGTTTTGTAACATTATACTTTTGATTTTTTCGTCATCTCTATTATTGTATTATGAAAAGGGCTAATTCCGGAGAGTAAACTTTTGCAGAGAAAACTTAAGGCAGTAAAATTGGAGAAACAAAAACCAAGTTTTAAGGTTTGAACTCAATGTATAAAAATTTACCACTCGACACAAGTGTTTTGTCCAAACTGTTACTTTTACATTGTTACTGGTTGCAAAAATGATCAAATTAGTTAGGACTTAGGACTCAGAAGTACAAAAAAGGTTGGAACATTTATTGATATCTCGTAGGTGAAGAGAATGGGATGCTAAATGTATGAGCTTACGCTATGAGGTTCATGTAAATGTAGAAAAATAACTAAATCACATATAAATAAATTGGGATTCATTTTTCATGAAAGTGGGTGACATTATTACCCTTTTCCATGCTATTTCTCAATAGTACAAGTTAACACATTCTTCAAAGTTTCATCCACAACCACCAATAATTTTAGCTTTGGTTATTCCACAATGTACAACTCACAATTATTATGTTGACTTGACTAAAATTTCTATTCTCATTTTTCAAATCATTTCTACTTTCCTCAAGATTATTAAACCACGGTCACATCATATACAAAACAAAACAACAACAAAAAGGTTAAATAAAAATTGCATATTCCAAAAATAGGATTGCAACTTTTTCTATCCATGATAATATGATTCGTGCACATTGTCATCAGCAACGACTCCGGACAAGCCCACAAGTAAAAAAAAAAAAAAAAAAAAGAAACGAGAAACCCAAATCCAAATCCAAAACCCCAAGGACGAACAAGACACAAGCTGATCAGATCACATAAATAAATAAAAAGCCACAACCTCCAAACCCAAAATTGGGGGATAGAGACAGAGAAAAAAACCAACAAACAAACAAACAGATTCTCTCCTCTATTATAATCTGAAGAAACCAAGTATATGAGTATAAAAAAGGCCTGATATTCAAGCACAATCCAGAGTGAAAATAGTTTCTCCTTTGCTTAGGCACCTGAATGCGAGACCGGTGTTGTCTCAAACTTCCCTTCAGTAAACACATGATTGTACTGTTGAGGCAGCGCATGTTCCACCTACAATGTTGTAACAAAACAATATGAGAATGATTCCTTCAATGAATAGTGTCACACACATGAGTTTTTTTGGTTACAATGCGCTTTTAACCAAAGATTACTAGATTTTGGTATCAACCTACAGTAACCAGATTCCAGAGGTATTCCGTTGCTTGGTGAATAAATTTGAAGAATATAAGAAAACGAAAACGTTTTCATGGTTATAAATAGAGGAAAGCCATACCCAATCTCCATCAGGGGTAGCACCGGGCACCATTACATTGATCTCACTTGATTTGGCTGTTGTTATAGCTGTATCTAATGAGTCTTTGTTTAGATATAACTGACAGCCAGTTGTGTTGTCCACAGAAACTGTGGGAGCTGAACCCTAGATCGGACAAAGCAAGAGCAATCAGTGTCTCGAAAAAAAGTTGCATATGGTTAGAGCTACATCATAAGTTTGACAAGCAAAATAGATGGTCCATAAGAAGATACATCTGCAAAAGCTTATAGATTATATAGAACACAAACCTGACATTGCACTTCTACGTTGGTGCAGTTCACAATCTCAAATGCAGCAACAACATCCTATACAGACAAGTTATATTTTACTTTATTAGAAATCACGTAAATGTATACTGTATGAATGTAAAAGAAACAGTATTATTCCACTCACCGTGAAAACAACACCCATTTTGGTGCATTTGTCAATGGTGATGTTATTCACTTTTCCTGCAGATTAGGCAACAACAGTAAGTGCCTCAAAAAATTTTTGAGTAGATATCCAACTTTCACAGTGAGAATGGAATGGCGCAAAGTTACCTTGTATCTGCAAGACAGAATCTTTGCAACCAAATATGTACACAGACTGTTTGGAATCACACTCGCTGATAACCAAGTCCTTCTTCCCAATTTGGTTCTCAACAGCCCACCTAATAGTTCAGACGAATCCAACAATCAGTTTTATAGCATTTTGATCATAGTTTTGTACCATATAGTTATTCTTAGTAAAACCCACTTGCGACCCATTTGAAGTTCCATTTTCGGTGGTCCAGTTTTTGAAAAGGCCGGTTTACTGGTACGAGTTTCCTTCTCAACGGCACTAACAGCTCCAGATCTATCAGCACGATTCTTTGTCTTCATATCATCTGTCACTTTTCTAAGTCCTGAAAAACAAAGAACGAGAAAAGCTATTCATGAATCACATTCCAAATAGACACTGCGCTAGAAATATGACGACATACAAATTCAAACCTACCTGAGGTCACAGCACCCGAGCTGAGTTGCTGGAAAACAGCAGACATCCCTTGTTTTTGGTTTGACGATGATGATGGCTTTGAAGATTCCGAACTGAAGACGGGCGCTGGTGGAGGAGCAGGAGCACCAGGTGGAGCCTTTGCAGGAGCACTAGCAGGTTTCCCTGATGCATTCCATACAGGTCCCAAGGGGTAATGACTTTTAACATATTCCCTTAAACCAGGCAAGTAAAGTTCTTTTAAGGCTTTAGCCCATTCCACATGATCTGCGTCTTTGTTACGATACTCCACCAGAACCTGTAGAAGAACATGGAGATCACATAATGAACAATGTGCAACGAGCATCAAACAGCATTATAAGCTTCTGCAACCTGAACAAGCAACTATAAAGTCATCGTTCTCTATTGTTTTCCATAAGCTCCTAACATCACAACATATGAAAGCATAGAGAGGTTGAAGATTAGCACCTTATTGTTGTAAAACTCAGCCATTTGCCAACTTTCTTCCACATGAGCTATTGGCATACTCATACCTTGCAGAAAAAAAACAAAGAAAGAAAATTTACATCATAAAATGCATCAAGTCAGAATCTTTTCCAACATGATGATGGCTTTGCTTACCACAATCTTTTCCAGTGAAAGCAATCCAAGCCAATGCAGATAAACAATCGGATGCAGCCTTCAAGTGATTGAAAAAATCCGACCTTTTTCCTTCAGTCATTGCATTAGCTTTCATTGTAACATCATTCAACGGCTTAAGAAATCCAGCCAATCCAGCGAGGTCAGGCTTCTGTTCAAATCCGACCAAAATCAAAATCAAAAACCAATCCACAAGGACGCACCAAAACGAATTGATCGATAAGACCGAAATTCAAAAACTTTACCTGAGTTTGCTTGATGCGAACAAGCAGCTCCTTCTGCGAAGCAAAAGCTTCGGCGACAATCTTCGTCACATCTAGAACAGGTCCACCGATTTTCTCAGCCGCGGTCAGAGCCCTACCAACACATTGAGAAATCAGATCTTCGTAGGCCAGAATCGATGGATCGGACGAGGCGACATCGGTTCCGGCGCCGGTGGAGAAATCTCCTCCGCGGGAAAGAGAAACAACTCCTCCACCTCCTCCGTTGCTTGAGATCCCTTCAAGCCTCGTAACCGCAGCTTCAAGGCGCTTAATCAAATCCTCTTCCATTTTTTCGATCAACAAAAGGTCGAATTTAGATCTGGAATCGATTTAAGAATGGATTTTGTTTTCCCTTTTTGCGTGGGACTATGTGGGTTTCATGATGATGGCGAAGTCAGGAGAATATGTGATGACACGTGGCCGTTGTTAGATAATTTTACCAATCGCAGGTTAGTGGAGTGGTCGTGGATTGTCGGATCCGAATTCCGACACATGTGTTTGTGCTCGACCCGAACCGGATCCAAAATAACTTACGGTTTGAGACCGGGTTCAGTTTAAACCCGAACTAAACAGTATACTATACGGGCTATACCAAACAAATTTTAGAGCAGAGCCGATCCAGTTCTTCTATAAAAACCAAATTACCAAATTCCGGTTTGGCCGGGTTGGTGTAATGCTAAAAACCAAATTACCAAATTCCGGTTTGGCCGGGTTGGTGTAATGCTTATACACAAATTGAATGAACCAATTTATGATGCTATACGTGAAATTCACATGGCCAAGCAGAACAAAAGAGAAGAAATGTAAGAAATGGAACTTTCTTTGAGTTCACTGTTTTATTATACAATATATATGATATTTACAAATTACAAGCCTTAAATCTGAATTCCATCCTCATAATATCTAATCTCACTTTTCCAATTTTATCTTTTGCATATCAATTCCTCAATATAAGAACAAACATGAAAACAACATCTATTAATATATGGCTGTGTAACGAATAGCATCAACTCTCAAGTGTGGTCTTCCTCAAGACATTATTGTTTGCCCTAGAAGCTTTCTCACTTCAATCTTTCCTGGTTTGATCTGTGTTCCTGTGAGAAACACATATATGACTTAAAAATCAGTTAATTGCATAAAGGATCAAAGCTCTTTTAGGCTTTTTTTATACTTACAGGACGGAATGGAAAATCTTCAGCCTCAAGCATGTGAATGATTTGTCCCATCTTTGGTCGTTTACTAGCGTCAAGGTCTATGCAACGCAAACAAACAAGCAAAGCTCTTTTCAAAGCTCTTGGAGGAGGTTGAGTCTTGATTTTAGGGTCTATAACTTCTTCTCCACGTCTACTTGCAACCATTCCTTTGAACCAATCCACTAAGTTCATCTGAAAATGTTTCAACAAAAATATAATTGCATTTGTTCTTGGGAGGAAAGAAATGTTAATTAAAAGGTTCAGTATAATGTATGAGATTACCTCGCCAGGCGGTCTTGAATAATCGACCGGGCTCCTTCCTGTAATGATCTCCATGAGCAGAACACCGAAACTGTAGACATCACTACACTCATTGAGCATACCCGTACTTGCATATTCCGGTGAAACATATCTGCACAATTTTCAAGTAAAGACTGTAAGAAAATCAAAGTAAAGTAAACAATCTGCGTCTGATGATTGAAAGAAGAGAGGATACCCAAAAGTTCCCATCACACGAGTTGTCACATAGCTTGTCTCAGATCCTAATAACTTGGCCAAACCGAAATCAGACACTTTTGCGTTCCATTTCTTATCGAGTAAGATGTTACTAGACTTCACATCACGGTGCACAACCTTAGGTTCAAGCCCTTCGTGTAAATAGGCTAATCTGTTTATCAAATGGCAGAGTTTCAAAAGGCCAGTCTTAGCTAGAATGCGAATTGAAAAGAAGAAGAAGAAAACAAAAGAAGTTGCACCCTTTTGCTGTTCCAATGGCAATCTTCATGCGGATATCCCACGTGAGAGGACTCACCGGACCTACATCACCGTGCAACCACTGCTCCAAGTTTCCATTATCAATATATTCATACACAAGCATCCTAATCAAGGAACAAAGAAAGAACTAATTGTTAGATTAATTCCAGATTAGAGTTCACTAATTCATTTGAGTTTGTTTGCTTTAGCACCTTTGAGCACTGTCAGCACAATATCCCATCAGACCAACCAAGTTCTTATGTCTTACTTTCCCAATTGCTTCTACTTCAACTTTGAACTCTTTCTCTGCCTGACCCCTGTAGAAAATTATTATATTTTACCATCATTTAGCAGATTCATTTAATCATTTATTATAACAAAATCCAAAAAAAACTGTTTATAAAACAATACTACTATAAGAGTAAACAAGAAGATAAAAAGTTTCATCCATGCCTCAGGACCAAAAGATTATTATTATATTTTTAAAATTTGGCATCAAACTTCCAGTGGTTGTGCTGCAACCAACAACCCTGAATCTGCTCAACCTAACAATCAATATAATAGATTTCTGTAATCTTGCTACCTAAATAGAAAGATTTATTAATTTTCTTAACCATAAAATCAATCCATGGAACTCTGGCTAAACAAATCCAGATTCAACAAAGAAGTGACCAATCCCAGAAAGCAAACAGAGAAGATTCTTTGCAAGCTATTTGGTTCAATGGTATCTCATTTTCCAGCAAGTTTTATACTAGTGAAGACCATCTCATCATCTAAAAGGTGACAAACTAAAACAAAAGAGATCATAGAGGTCAAAAGAAAAGGAAAAGATTAAAGAAAGCATTAACAGAGAATAAAGAACAAAGCACAAGGAATTAATATTTCCTTTTGTTTTACTCTTTTAGCTTCACTACACCTACCTAAAAAACAGTAATTATATAGTTCAATGGTCGGAAAAACATTTACTTTATACTCAAAAATGTGTATAAGTTACTAATTCAGGATATAAAATGGTTACAGTTGGACCAATAATCAATACAGAACTCAAGAATTTCATAGTTATATTAAAGTCAAAAACTCAAATAAATTCATGCAGAGAAAGTGTTATCTAATTAAACACTTGTCGGAGAAATCTCTATAAAAAAATCAATGTTTCGCCATTTTCTTGGGTTTGAAAGTAACGAAGAAGACAACATTAAAAGCATATTTAAAACCAAGTAGTAAGTACCAATGAAGCCTTGACCCAAGAATTACGGAGTCCGTGAAATAGAGTAAATGAAATTTGTCAGAATGAGGCAATGAATATTTAATATAGTAGTACCAGATAAGATCCAAATTTCAAAAAAATGAACTAATCTAAATTAGTAGTAATAATCTTTAAAGAAATTACTTGTTGTTAAGGAGATTCTTGACGGCGGCGACAGAACCGTCGGAGAAATCAGCTCTATAAACAACACCGTAGCCTCCTTCACCGATCATGTTATCATCGGAGAAGACACGTGTCGCAATCTCCAGATCTTTTAAGCTGTACCATCTTCCCCATCCCATTACCTCAGAGCCAACGTCACCGCTCGAAGCCACCGACAAAGTATCAAACCCACTCGTCGTTTCTTTGCTTGAGGCGGAGACAACAACAACAACTTCGTTTCCGATTTTACCCTTGGAATCGTCGGAGTTTATAAATTTTCCGACAGTCTTGATCTCCGAGATTTCTTTAGAGACGAGCGGGATGGAGCCGGAGCTGTGCTTCACGCGCATTTTACGAGCGCGTGAGACGCGGTTCAAGCAGACGAAGAGGAAGATCAAGAGTGATATCAAGAGTATGAAAACAGAACAAATCGCGATGACTAAGTAGAGGTTTAGTCCGAAAATGGAAGATTTTGTTGTGGAGGACTTGTGAGAACCACCACCACCAGAGTCCGACATCGCGTGACACGAGTAGAGGAAGTCAAATTCACTTCTCTCCGGACGGGATAGTTTGGTTTTCTGGAGATTGTTCGAAGAAAGAGAAACGTTAGGAACAAACAAACAAAAGACGATGATGATAGCTTTAACAAAAAATATGAGAGAGACAAGACGAGAGCGCAACGGGTAGAAATTGAGAGTGTTTTTCTTATTTAAGGCATGCGATTAGTGTTTTATTACGATAATGCCACCGAACGAGTACATGGTACGCTAGTGTTGTGTTACAATCTATATACACATTAATGTCTAGTTGTTAATGATAGTCTAACTATAATTTGGTTTTATTGAAATAGAGAATTTTGTAAGAATAATGAGGATCTGTAATATAGCTGGATTTGCATTAAATCGTACGCCGTTGGTAATCGAAATTAATTAAAAAATATTTTAGCATATAATGTTGGTGCTTCCGACATGTTATTGGACAATAATACTATACTTTTTCTTTGGGATCTTAAAAAATTACGTGAGAGTAGAGTTTGGAGTTGTATAATATTTTCTAAGAAAAAGAAAATAGTCAAACTTAGGTTACATTATAATGGGCCAATTCTTTGACTTGTGACTGATTTCCAAAGCAGAAGATCAGTAGAGCGGAAAAACGGTCTATTTCCCCCCGAGAACTATCGTATCTGGCCAGATAAAGCCCGATCTTTGACCTCTGTCTATATATCCATGAAACGGAAGTTAAATGTTTATTTCCCCACCAATTGAAGGTTCGAAAGCTTCATGTCCATGAATCCTGGTTTCGTCGGTTTAGTGCGTAAACCCGACACAGAACCATGTTTCGGTCGTAACTTAACCAAAAAAAAAAACCGATTTCTTATTAACGGTCAGATTTTGACCCCAACAAAAAAAATCAACGGCGGTGATCAACTCTACCTAAATCCACAAGCTTCTTAGACCGGTTACCGCAAAAAGACGCCGCCGTTGAAAGATGAGGCTTCGCCGGAGACTTCAATTCACCGGAATATCCAAAATCCGGCGGAAATTTCGCTTTCCAATTAGAAGAACAGTTAGGTTTAGCTCTCACTAATGGACTTAAGCAAAAAGCCATCCCAGATACACTTCTACCAATCCCAATCGTCGCCGTCTTTTTCCTTCCCGGAGTTCCCATCGCCGGCGTTCTTCTTAATCTCCCTGGAGATTCCTCAACTGATTCATCGTTCGCCGTTGAATCTCCCGCCGGCGACATTCCTCTACAATATCTCTGTCTAGGTCGATTTTGATGATGATGATCGGATTCGGAAGCGATCAAATCCTCGATGTAGCAAGTAGAGGTGGTTGATTGTTTCTTCGATCGAACTGTGAGAACTTTCGAAAACCATGACCGTGAAGTCGTCGACAAAGACGATTGAGAAAACGTGGACATGTCGCATGAGATTGAGATTTAACTTCCGTGGTCGTAATCATCAGATCTCGTTCTGAAGAAGCTTGAGATTCATGGACATTAGGTTTGGTATAAAGTAAACCAATTAGGTTGGTTCTAATTAGGTTTAATTGGTTAAAGCATCGGTTTGGTATAAAGTAAACCAATTAAACCCAGTTCTATGGGGTTTTAAATCTCAAACTTAGGATTCATGGACATTAAGCTCTCGAACTTTCAATTGGTGGGGAAATAAACATTTAACTTCCGTTTCATGGGTATATAGACAGAGGTCAAAGATCGGGCTTTATCTGGCCAGATACGATAGTTCTCGGGGGGAAATAGACCGTTTTTCCCAGTAGAGCAGTAGAAAAACAACTGGACCTATAGCCCAAGCCCATTTTCAGGTCCATTATCGTTAAGATTCCTCTTTTCCTATAAATTTGGAAATTCGAAATCAATTCAAATCTACTCTCTCTGTTTTCCATATAAATCTGGAAAATCAAAAGCTTCTTCGTCACTTTTCCTGCTTACGCCTTCCATTAGTTGGCCGATACACATGATGCCAAATACATCAATGGAGACTTCTCTCTGTTTTTTAGTTATATCAAACTCCCACCCAACCTCGAGAAAAAAAAATGGTGTCTATAAACACATCCCCTTACGATTTCGTCTTCTCTCCATACAGTGTCTATATATACATACGCACATACACAAAGCTTTAGTATCTCACCAGTATCACCAAAAAAAATCGTCCATGGACGCTAATGGAGGACCTGTACAGATCCGGTCCAAAAACTACGTCAAGCTTGGTTATCACTATCTGCTCACTCACTTTTTGAAGCTTTTATTGATCCCTTTCATGGCGGTTTTGTTCATGAATGTCTCCTTATTAAGCCTAAACCAGCTCCATCTCCATTACAATTCCACCGGATTCGTCTTCCTCATCACCTTCGCTATATTAGGGTCCATTGTCTTCTTCATTTCTCGACCTAGATCCATTTACCTCCTTGATTACTCCTGCTACCTCCCGCCCTCGAATCAAAAAGTTAGCTACCAGACATTCATGAATAACTCTAGCTTGATTCAAGATTTCAGCGAGACTTCTCTTGAGTTCCAGAGGAAGATCTTGATTCGGTCCGGTCTCGGTGAAGAGACTTATTTACCGGAGTCTATTCATTGCATTCCTCCGCGTCCTACCATGGCGGCGGCGCGTGAAGAAGCAGAGCAGGTAATCTTCGGTGCACTCGACAGTCTCTTCGAGAATACCAAAATCAATCCTAGGGAGATTGGTGTTCTTGTTGTGAATTGTAGTTTGTTTAACCCTACGCCTTCTTTATCCGCCATGATTGTTAACAAGTATAAGCTTAGAGGAAACATCAAGAGCTTTAACCTTGGAGGTATGGGATGTAGTGCTGGTGTTATCGCGGTTGATCTCGCTAGTGACATGTTACAAATCCATAGAAACACTTTTGCTCTTGTGGTTAGTACTGAGAACATCACTCAGAATTGGTATTTTGGTAACAACAAAGCAATGTTGATCCCTAATTGCTTGTTTAGAGTTGGTGGATCCGCGGTTCTGCTTTCGAACAAGCCTTTGGATCGAAAACGATCCAAGTATAAGCTTGTTCATACGGTGAGGACTCATAAAGGATCTGATGAGAAAGCATTTAATTGTGTGTACCAAGAACAAGACGAGTGTTTGAAAACCGGAGTTTCTTTGTCTAAAGATCTTATGGCTATAGCCGGAGAAGCTTTAAAGACGAATATCACTACTTTGGGTCCTCTGGTTCTTCCTATAAGCGAGCAGATTCTGTTCTTTTCGGCTTTTGTTGCTAAGAGATTTTTCAATGCCAAGGAGAAGAAGCCTTACATACCGGATTTCAAGCTTGCATTTGATCATTTCTGTATTCACGCGGGAGGTAGAGCCGTGATCGATGAGCTAGAGAAGAGTTTAAAGCTTTCGCCAAAACATGTCGAGGCGTCTAGAATGACATTGCATAGATTTGGAAACACTTCCTCTAGCTCTATATGGTATGAATTGGCTTACACGGAAGCTAAAGGAAGAATGAGGAAAGGGAACAGAGTTTGGCAGATTGCTTTTGGAAGCGGGTTTAAGTGTAACAGCGCGGTTTGGGTGGCTCTTCGCGATATCAAGCCCACTGTTAACAATCCTTGGGAACATTGCATCCATAGATATCCGGTTAAGATCGATCTTTGAACTCATCAGAACGGGTAGATTTGGTCTGTAAGCATGGTTAATCCTCCATTTAGCAGAAGACTTTCTCTTATATTTTTACTAATGGGTAAAGAAATCAGTTGAAGCTTTGTTACTCAATTGGGTAATGTATGTATAAGTGTTGTACATAAATGTAGCATATAAATTACCTAGAATGGTTTTTAAATTGCAGATGAAAGATCCATGTCATGAGATATTAAAACAGAGAGAACTACAAAATACAAAGGTCACTTGCTGGATGAGGCGATGGTAGAAATTGCTCTTTAGCCTCTTAGGTTTAAATCAATAAAAATTCTGTATCTATTTTAGACTATATATTTGGCCTTAACTAAACTTCCACTCATTTAATTACTGAGGTTAGAGAATAGACTTGCGAATAAACTTATTCCCGAGAAATACTCATGATCCCATAATTAGTCAGAGGCTATGCCAATCAGATCTAAGAACACACATTCCCTTAAATTTTTAATACACTTTTTTTTTTTTGTGCAAGCAAAGAAATTTTTAATACACATGTAATCATAGTTAAGCACCATTTAAAAATAATACTCCCTCCGTTTCATAATATAAGTCGTTTTAGCTTTAAGCACGCAGATTAAGAAGATCTACTTTTAAAAAGTTCAACCAATCACAACAGAGACTACATAATATAAACAATTATAAAACATTAAAATAATATATAATTTGCATAGGAATTTGAAAACGACTTATATTGTGAAACAAATTTTTTTCACCAAAACGACTTATATTATGAAATGGAGGAAGTATATTTTAGTGAAAGTTTTTTTTAATAATATATAGTATTATTTATAGACTTTTTATAATGACGTTAAAAAAAGACTATGTTTATATATTTTATTTAATTTGAAAAAAACGAAATTTGTATCGAAATATATGAATTTAGTATATATATATTTGTAATGTACTATTTTGCTATTTTGGCAACTTTCAGTGGACTACTACTTTATTACAATGTGTATGCATGCATGAGTTTGAGTATACACATGTCTAAATGCATGCTTGTAAAACGTAACGGACCACAAAAGAGGATCCATACAAATACATCTCATCGTTTACTCCATTATTATTTTCCGACACAAACAGAGCAATGACGTCCGTTAACGTTAAGCTCCTTTACCATTACGTCTTAACCAACTTTTTCAACCTCTGTTTGTTCCCGTTAACGGCGTTCGTCGCCGGAAAAGCCTCTCGGCTTACCACAAACGATCTCCACAACTTCTTTTCCTATCTCCAACACAACCTTATAACCGTAGCTATACTCTTTGCTTTCACTGTCTTTGGTTTGGTTCTCTACATGGTAACCCGACCCAAACCGGTTTATCTCGTTGACTACTCGTGCTACCTTCCACCACCGCATCTCAGAGCCAGTGTCTCCAAAGTCATGGATGTTTTCTATCAAATAAGAAAAGCTGATACTTCACGGAACGTGGCATGCGATGATCCGTCCTCGCTTGATTTCCTGAGGAAGATTCAAGAGCGTTCAGGTCTAGGTGATGAGACCTACGGTCCCGAGGGACTCCTTCACGTGCCCCCACGGAAGACTTTTGCAGCGGCACGTGAAGAGACAGAGCAGGTTATCATTGGTGCGCTCGAAAATCTATTCGAGAACACCAAAGTTAACCCTAGAGAGATTGGTATACTTGTGGTGAACTCAAGCATGTTTAATCCAACTCCTTCGCTATCCGCGATGGTCGTTAATACTTTCAAGCTCCGAAGCAACATCAAAAGCTTTAATCTTGGAGGAATGGGTTGTAGTGCTGGTGTTATCGCCATTGATCTTGCTAAGGACTTGTTGCATGTTCATAAAAACACTTATGCTCTTGTGGTGAGCACTGAGAACATCACTCATGGGATTTATGCTGGCGAAAATAGATCAATGATGGTTAGCAACTGCTTGTTCCGTGTTGGTGGGGCCGCGATTTTGCTCTCCAACAAGCCTGGAGATCGGAGACGGTCCAAGTACAAGCTAGCTCACACGGTTCGAACCCATACGGGAGCTGATGACAAGTCTTTTCGATGTGTGCAACAAGAAGACGATGAGAGTGGTAAAATCGGAGTTTGTCTGTCAAAGGACATAACCAATGTTGCGGGGACAACGCTTAAGAAAAACATAGCAACATTGGGTCCGTTGATTCTTCCTTTAAGCGAGAAATTTCTTTTTTTCGTTACCTTCGTCGCCAAGAAACTTTTAAAGGATAAAATCAAGCATTACTATGTCCCGGATTTCAAGCTTGCTATTGACCATTTCTGTATTCATGCCGGAGGCAGAGCCGTGATCGATGAGCTAGAGAAGAGCTTAGGACTATCGCCGATAGATGTGGAGGCATCTAGATCAACGTTACATAGATTTGGGAATACTTCGTCTAGCTCAATTTGGTATGAATTGGCATACATTGAGGCAAAAGGAAGAATGAAGAAAGGGAATAAAGCTTGGCAGATTGCTTTAGGATCAGGGTTTAAGTGTAATAGTGCGGTTTGGGTGGCTCTACGCAATGTCAAGGCTTCGGCAAATAGTCCTTGGCTACATTGCATCGATAGATATCCGGTTAAAATTGATTCTGATTTGTCAAAGTCAGAGACTCGTGTCCAAAACGGTCGGTCCTAATTTGATGTATCTATCTGAGTGCCAACGTTTACTTTGTCTTTTCTTTCTTCTTTCTTTTATTGGTTATGATTAGATGTTTAAGATGTTCTCTCTTTTTCGTTATAAATAAAGATGTTCCATTGTTCTATTGTTTCACACGCAAATTTAAGCGTTTGAGTTTAGGTTTACAAGATATCTTTTGCAAAATCACCTTTAAAAACCAAAACATTTTTAGTTTTGATAAAATATTTAACGAAATGTAAGTCTCTAAATAGCCACTCGTATTCTCTAATTAAGGATTTGATCCAAGCGATAAGCAAACAGATTGTTGTAAGCATATCGATTTATGCCTTTTATCTTAAATAGCTCACTAAATAGTAGTATATAATAGCTAACGACGTTGTGGACTGTTTAATTACCTAACTTTAGAAGTTAGAACTCAATCACCTACTAATTTGTTTCTGTTTCCAAGTTCTCTAACCAATCAGTGCAATCACCGTTTTCTACATACCAACTTATATAACAACTAATACTAGAATGTGTTTGAACAACACAACATTGGTTTTTCTAGAGGTTTTTGATTGTTTGTTGAGTTCATCTAGCTCTGTCTAGTGTCTGCCGCCTAGGTCATTGTTAAAGAAAGTTACATTCCTGTAGTTTAGATTTAAATATATAAATGCATATTTTAGTTTCTGTATGATTTTGAATTGTTTAGGTACAAAAGTAGGGAAGCCCATATAATTCAATTGATAGTTGAATAATGAAAACTGATAACTGTCAGAGAGTTGGAGTAGTCCCCGATGAGCCTACATCAGAAAAAAACACCCAATTGATACTATTATCTTTTCTTTCTTTCTTTTTTGGCTAAAACTCACCTTATCTGTTTATTTCAAATGAAGCTTTCAAAACATGCTTTTTCCTTACTTTTTGCAACATGAAATCTTTTATTTTATTATCAAATCATTTATATATTAATAACTAATAACAATACATTATAAGATATTATGTAAATTTTCATAGAAAATAAAAAAATATAAACACTTCTTGGATGTTAATTAAAGAGATAAAACACTTCTTCTTTTGACAAAAAAACTTCTTAAGAAAGCTGTATATTTTTAAAACACATGCAAGTTTATAAACTTCACAACTCTTCTTTATTTTAAACCAAAAAAAAAAAACTCTTCTTTATATATACGTCTAATTCCCCCATATGCATATATCGAGAATATATAACCCATCATATAGAAGAGATGTAGGAATTAGGATCCCATCATGTGATCATGAGTCATGACCATTGGATCTCCCCTCATTATGGTTCCATCTATAAATTTCTACATGGATGATATGTTTCTAATTCTAATTAAGAATTCGCCTATATACAAATTAATATACATATTTATATAGATATGTTATAGTAACATCTAACAACACTTAAACATATACGTGTAGAGATCAATTCTCCAGTTTAATGAAAGAAATTGGCTATATGTGTGTGTGTATATATATACACTTTTGTATAATGAATATATATTTAATATAATTATCTCCAACTCAACACACCGAATCAAGTGTCAACATCAACATACATGTCGAAATGAATTTATGAACATATATACAAGGGGATGGGGAACCCACAAATTAGGTGTGAGGCATTACTTTTATAGTGTATGCATGTATAGTATAATAGGGAAATAGCCGATCATCTTCTATGGACTTAGTCCAAATTCATCACATCAAAAAGCAAACGACCATTTCTTGATTTCTAACTACTTTACACCCTCCCCTTTCCTTATCTACTAACTCCATATATATGCTTTAAAAGCTTAATAAATATATTATTGGACTAAGCAAAAGAAAGAGAGTTGGATTTTTATTGTAGACTCGAAAAGATTTCATGTCCTATATCAATCACATAAAGGGTTTTCCAATAACTTAAATAAAAAGTCGGATAAATGGAAATATATTTGAGAATCTAAAACAATGCCATACTTTAATGGAGATGAGGTCCTTTTCTTCGAGATATTTGCTCACCGAAATCGGTGAAAGTGATCTAAGACTAAAACTAACTTGTGAGTAATTTATGTGATGGGCCTTCTGCATACAAAGAGCATGGCGATCACGTGGCAGTCTCTCTTGCGCCGTCTCAGTATTAGCCTATCACGATAGAGTAAGCCAATATATACAGCATGGCGATCAGACACATGATCGATCTGAATAACAAGATTTCGAAGTATATATGTAATAAATTCATGTGAACAGTGCGTCGTAGCTAGCTAAATTAAGACCGGAGTTATTGAAAAATGAGGTAAAGTGTTTGCTTTGTTACCCCATTGAGCTGAAATATCTAGCGCACCAATCTGATTCATACGGGTAATGGATTTCATTTTTACTTAGCTTCGAAGATATAAAGACTATACGAGACTATGTTCTAAAATACCAACTAGATATATACTCCTATAAGCCGCGTATGGACAGTAGATGATGGTCATGGTCCGACGTTTACAAAAACTCCGATCGATGTTTACAAGAACCCCGTCGACGTTTAATAGCGTCTAGGCGGACGTCGGAAGTCATGCGGTCTTAAAGAAAAAAAGTATTGGTATAAACATAATTATCATGTTAAGAGTTAAGATTATACCAAACTTGAAAATGATTTTCAATTTTTTCATTTGTGTTATACAACCTAACAACAGCAAAACCAGTCCCACGTGAACTTCACGTGCTCCTTTAATGAAAGAAAGTTAGAATTAAACCTAAAGAAGAAGACGCTCCAATTCGAATAGACATCCCCAACTTATCCCCAACTTACTTAGTGAACAAGATCCAATATACACTATGATACATGCATATATTACGTAATAAATGTTTTATTAAAAATCACTATTTTAGTTGTTTTCTCATTTTTCAATCATCTCAAAATCTCAATTATCTCCAAACATCTAAAGTTTCCAGATTTATATCTGGGCCTACTTTATTTGATGCGATGAATATGGACTAAAATACATACATAGCTGATGGTTTTTGTTATAAATATCGTTTCCTCTTCTACCCTCACCTTTACTCTGTTTCTTTCTCACTCTCTCTCACTGCAAGCAATTTGTTTTCTCAAGAAGAAGAAGAAGAAGAAGATAACGATGAATGGAGCTATAGGAGGTGACCTTTTGCTCAATTACACGGACATGTCGGTCCTAGAGCGCCAAAGGGCTCACCTCAAGTATTTCAATCCCAGCTTTGATTCTCCTCTCGCCGGCTTCTTTGCCGATTCATCAATGATTAACGGCGGCGAGATGGACGGCTTTCTTGCGACTGCCGGTTTGAATCTTCCGATGATTTACGGGGAGACGACGGTGGAAGTTGATCCAAGAATGTCAATTTCCCCGGAAACTACGCTTGGGACTGGAAATTTCAAGAAAAGGAAGTTTGATACAGTGACTAAGGTTCGTATGTGAAACTCTGTTCTTGAAACCTAAGTTTGAGTTCTATAAACGAATAAGAAAACAGATCTTACTTTGAGATTTCACTTATCTGTTTCTTCTGTGTGTGCTTTTAGGATTGTAATGAGAAGAAGAAGATGATGAACAGAGAAGAAGTAACAGAAGAAGAAGAAGAAAAGTCGAAAATAACAGAGCTAAACAATGGGAGTCCAAAAAGCATCAAGAAGATGAAAAACAAAGCCAAGAAAGAAGAGAACAATTGCTCTAACGATTCATCTAAAGTGACGAAGGAATTGGAGAAAACGGATTATATTCATGTTCGTGCACGACGAGGCCAAGCCACTGATAGTCACAGCATAGCAGAACGAGTAAGAGAGACTCATTAACTAAAATTCAATATTAAGACTCGACCTTGTTTTTTGTGTTAATCATTGAGATACTTATTCATTATTAAAATTTGTGAAGGTTAGAAGAGAAAAGATTAGTGAGAGAATGAAGTTTCTACAAGATTTGGTTCCTGGATGCGACAAGATCACAGGCAAAGCAGGGATGCTTGATGAAATCATTAACTATGTTCAGTCTCTTCAGAGACAAATTGAGGTCTGAAAATTCATTTCCATTAGTAGAAAATATGGTTTTAAGACTCTAATTTTGCATTACCTAATATGTGTTTTTGTTTAAAACAGTTCTTATCGATGAAACTAGCAATTGTGAATCCAAGGCCGGATTTTGATACGGATGACATTTTTGCCAAAGAGGTTATAGTCATTTATATAAAATAAAAACTAAACTTTAAAGGTTAATTAGATGAACTAAAATAGGCCATTGAATTCAAAAACCAGGTTGTCTCAACTCCAATGACTGTGGTGCCATCTCCTGCAATGGTTCATTCCGGTTATTCTCATGAGATAGTTCATTCCGGCTATCCCAATGAGATGGTTAATTCCGGTTATCATCATTTCAATCCAATGCAGCAACTGGATACCACCAGTTCTGATCCACTGTCATGCTTCAACGTACGCCATATTTTAAGTACTCTTTCATTATGATTTATCATATAATTTAAGTTTGGTTTAATAATCTTTTGTCAAATATGTTTGATTATGTTACAGAATGGCCAAGCTCCTTCAATGTGGGACTCTGATGTGCAGAATCTTTATGGGAGTTTAGGAGTTTGATTAAGAACAACGATTCACAACTATTAATGTTCCCTAATTCAAATTATTCATCGGAAGAGAGAGCAAACTTATAGCTGTTATTTACTAATTTCACTAGATTATTGACTTGAGATTTCCCGCCCATTATTTTATGTATCAAATTAAAGAGTGTATAAATTATTGTGTATAAATTGCAAACCCGTAATATATTTCTTACCGGTGGACGTAGTCTTTCAAGGTGTGTTCTCATTTCCTTGTGGTCAATGATCATCCATAGGATTTTTTTTTTTATACAATGCCACAAGTCCTCTATGCCACAATGAAACAAACGTTATGTTTTACATCTTCTAGCAATTCCATTATCACTAAACATTTTCTAATCTATGTTTTGGTTACTTAGAAAAATCGGGACTAACCACAAATTTAAAGCAAATGAATAAACAAATCTGTTATTGAAGAAGCGTGGCGGACAAAACGGTGATGTGTTTGGTTTTGTCAAGTACATTGTGAGATTAAAACCTATGACCAAACCCATTGGAACTAAAGTACCCTGGCTAATCTAATCCTCTATACCACGAATTGTACGGAGAGGTATAAATGGAGGAGGAGAAGAAGAAGAGCAGAGTTTTGATCATCGGAGCAACAGGAAAATTAGGCAACTATTTGACCCGTTTCAGCATCGAATCGGGTCACCCGACTTTCGCTCTCATCAGAAACTCCACTTCCTCCGCTAAGCTAAAATCTCTCTCCGACGCCGGCGTTGCTTTCCTCAAAGTCTCTCTCTTTGGATAATTTCTGTGATTTCCTCATTAGGGGATGTCGCAAATAAATCTGAAAGTCTTGGCTTTTTTGCTTGGTTTGATTTGGATTTGGTTTTTATGGGTTTTAGGGTTCATTGGAGGATGAAGGAAGCTTAGAAGAAGCAGTGAGCAAAGTAGATGTGGTGATCTCAGCAATTCCATCAAAACATGTTCTTGATCAGAAACTCCTCATCAAAGTCATCAAACAAGCTGGTTCCATCAAGGTCTCTTCTTATATCTTTATCATTGCTTTGTTATATCAATTTGTTATATAAATTTTAGCATTGTTTGATCTTGTATTAAGCAATGGAAAAGCAGAAACTGGTTTTTGAATTTGCTTCTGGTTGATGATGAGAGGATAGATCTCTAACTAGAGCAGAACATGGTTTAATTACCTTTGCAGAGGTTTATTCCTGCTGAATATGGAGCAAATCCTGATAAAACTCAAATCTCAGATCTTGATCATGGGTTCTATTCAAAGAAATGTGAGATCAAGCGTATGATAGAATCAGAGGGGATTCCATATACATACATTTGTTGTGGATTGTTCATGAGAATTCTACTTCCATCGCTTGTTCAACCGGGGCTTCAATCGCCTCCAATCGATAAAGTCACAGTTTATGGAGATGGAAATGTTAAAGGTTTCTCCTTTTTGCTCAATTCCATAACTACAAGTTTTTGCAAATATACAATCTTGTGGTCTGATAATCTTCTGTGTATTTGTGTATAGCTGTGTTCGTGAATGATGTCGATGTTGCAGCATTTACCATCAAAACGATAGATGATCCTCGAACACTGAATAAAACCTTGTACCTTAGACCGCCTGAAAACATATGTTCCATGAATGATCTTGTTGAGCTCTGGGAGGGCAAGATTGAGAAGAAGCTTGAGAAAACATTTGTTACAGAGAATCAACTTCTCAAGAAGATCAAAGGTCCATTATCAGCACATCTACTAACATATTTGCAAAACTTTTTTTTAACTTGAGCTTTCTGTTTCTATGATGCAGAAACTTCATATCCGGATAACATGGAGATGGTCTTCATATACTCTGTCTTTATCAAAGGAGATCACACATACTTCGACATCGAGTCTTCAGGTGGAGTGAATGGTACTGAGCTTTACCCTGATGTCAAATACATGACCGTGAGCGAGTTTCTTGATACTCTTCTCTAGAATTATAACCAAATAGCAAAAGGATCACGCTTTGTTTCATTATTTCAGAGATCTCTTTACACTTCCAAAACATCTCTGTTTTTTGAGGAATTCCATCTCTCTCATGTAGCACTATCTTGACCCTATCGATCTGAGTTTCGACCTTAACGGTGTAAAACAGTTGCTTCTGAAATTATGATGACGGTTCAAAGAAGCAAACATCCAATGAACATTTACATAAATATTAAGATCATAGGTTCAAGCCTCGATGTCTTGAAATATAGAAATGACCACAACAAAAAGTATGTGTTTGAGGATTAACGAATTTTATCTACCACATGTTATTGAGAATGAACTTCCAATAAAGTTAGTCGCAAGCTTAATCATTACTTGAACAACAAAAATAGATGAAAGATATTATTATACTTACAGCGCGAAAGGAAGCAACTATGGCACACAACGGAACACGTCAAATACGTAATTAAAATAAATAATTTTGTTAAAAGAATGTGATTCTCAGAGCGTAACCAAAATACGAGGTTAAGGCTTCAGAGAATCGTGTGATCCTAGTTCTGTATATTCCGACAAGACTAACCTTTATTCCTCTGCCTCTTCTTTTTTATTTTATTTTATTTCTTTTAAAACAAATCACCAGCTCTCTTTGAGTTTTCTCCAACCTTCACACACACAAAACATATTTTTGCTTGTAGAAAAAATCAAACCTCGTCTTCGAAGTTGGTTCTGTTCCTCCATGTATCGGCCACTGACACTGTAACATTTCTTTCTATATCCGCTTCAGTTTCGACGCATCAAGTTTTTGTGATTACTCTTTCTTTTCTTTTTTGGCATCGATTCGTATGCGTACAAAAAATCGTTTTCTTCCAAAAAATTATTATGAATAAGATTTATTTTAATTTTGGCTGTGAAAAAATTATCTACACTATACGGTATTTCACCAGTTGCATGATGAGATTTGATGAACCAAACTATTGAAATTTGAGTGAAGATTTTGAAGTCTGATACACCTGGATCAATGAGCATAAAAGTAAACAAGAACATTTTTGTATTGTTCTTCTGATGATTGGCAGGAGGGGTTGATTTATGTCTCTAATGAAGTCCAATTGCCTTTTTCTTGATTCCAGAGTATATCTTTTAGGTACAAATGTCTCAACATTTTATGGGCTTAAACGACGAGATTAAGACAGAAAGTTGTGTTCGTGGTTATGAATCTGCCTGGTTGGATCGTTGGACTCGTAAACTCAGAGACGCCAACTGTTCCAAACAGATGAACTTACCAGCAGATGGTCACCTATTGAAAGAGTCAACAGGTTCCATGAAACTAAAAGGGAAAATGTTGAGTGGGGTTCTTGATCTATTTCCTAATCCTGATTCAGCTGTTCAAAATGTCGAGATAATACCTGATATGAACAAAGAACCGCCTATTGTTGCGGACGGAGAAAACTCATAGATGGGGACGAAGAGGAAGCACGCAGTCAAGCTACTCAAAGTAAGAATGTGGAACACTTTCTCAACACCAACTTGCTCAGAGAGTGCAAGCGTATATGGTCGGACTCTGAAACCAACAGTAGATCACATGTCAAACGTCTGAAGACAAACACATCAGATAACAGCGGAAATGAAACCAAGAGCATGATGGTTTTCGAAGGACCATCATCAGGGAAGAAGGTGAACTACTTCTTCCACAGAATATTCGGAATCAACAAACCCGGATCCAGAAGATATCAAAAATCCTCCACATCACAAATCAAGAATCTGAATATGGGAGGAGGAGGAGAAGACGTTAACCCATGGATTCAGAGATGGTGTAAGCAAAATGCTGCAGAAACTCATGAACCAAGAGGAGGGCAACAAGTTAACCCAAAGGCCACTGTGCTAGAGAAGCAGTTTCCAAGTATTGCAGCAATGGCAATGATGAGGAAGGCTCTGAGCGGTACAAACCCGACCGGCTGTAGAAAGACCAACTCCCTCTTCGTTTGGAATGCTGAGGATTTAAGGTGAACAAATTCTGGCATGCCAATCTTGCTGGTGTCAGAACACAATACAAAACTAGAATCTACCTACTTCAAATAAACTTGGAATTGTGTCTGCAAAGCTATAAGTATCAACTCTCACTACTGCTGGAGTCATTTCTACCGTGTGACATATAAGTAAACTTCTAGAGCTTTGTTTCGCCTTGTTTCAAAACAATGATTTGAACGCCCAAAATCAATCTTTTTATCTCCAAATTCTCATAGGATTAAGTAGTATAGACCAATGTCTGCAAGTAAAGGTGCATTCTAGAAAGATAATGGTTCATAAAGACATTGGATAAAAGATAGATAAACAACTAAAACATTCGAAGGAAGTTAGCCGTGGGTTGCTCTAGTGTAGATCTGCTGGCTTGAGTGAGCAGAGACCATCCTGATCGTTCCCTTAGCCATCAATTCTCTGATCGCCCTCCTAGCAAGCGATCCATTGATCTGTACCAACACACAAGCTCATGTCAAAAACTAGCAGAAATCTGGAAGTCATGTGTGTACAGAGCTTTGCATCGAAAAAACGTTTAGGCATTGAAGATTAAGGAGATATTTTCTGACAGAAACAAGATGTCAAGGTATCAGTAAAAAAAATTCTTTCCAATCAGGGGAATTTTCTTACACTACTCAACCATCATTGAAAACACTCTTTTCACCACAATCTTCATAACAAACTGTTCGAGTCATCCGCGATACAATCACTAGATAATCGCAATGAAGCAAATATCTAAGATCTTAATCCAAAGCTATCAAGTAAAGACCTTTCAATGTTACCTATCAAGAAGTACTAACACACATTCTAAACTAATTTGTCACCAATGCATATTCTATGAGAAGAAAGTTTGCAACTTTCAGAAATATGGGAAGAAAGTGGTTTACCCTCAAACGGTCAGAGAGGATAGAAGGAGTGATAAGTTTGAACTTGGGAGCCTCAGATAGAAGCTTGTCGTAAGTTGCTTGGTCAAACAAAACCATGTTGTTCACTTTCTCCTTTTGCTTTCCTTTGCTCCACTTCTGTTACATTCCAAACAAATAACAATCAAATTTAGTGTAGCAAAAACAGGGGAAAAGGGATCATAGCACGATGTCCAGATCAATTAATCTGATTTCATGGTTCAAAACATGTCATTGCGAGACAAAAGATGGGATTTTTAGAAGAAAAAAAAGTGACCTTCTTCTTTTGCTTGCCGCCACCGGATTTGGCGGGTTTAGAGGACGGAGGAGGAACTTTGTCTTTCTTGGGTGCCTAGAATCAGACAGGGACGACATTGTTAGTAAGATGATGATCAGAAAGAGAAGCTAAGGAGAGAATATTGGACAGTGAAGAGAGTGAGAGAGTACACACCATTGGATCTGGACAAGAGAGGAGCGGCGCTACGATGAAGTACTGGAACAAGAAATTGAAATTTGAAACCCTAGAGGATGATGAGTCTTTCTCTCACGGGGATATACTTAATTTTTTATTTTTATTTATTTGACGACGGTAATTTATTTTTAATTATCAATAGATAGTTTAATACCGTCTCAAATTGATATATTTTGTTCAGATTAGGCCTAGTTTAGTCACACATTTTTCTATTACTCTTGTTCTAACATTCATCATGTGATTTTGCAAGACTAATGGGAATTTAAAAGGATTTATGCAATTATTCATAAAAATTAGTCTTAGTTCTAGGTTTTGTTCTATAAATTGTTATTTGTACGTATGATATTATGATGAACGTATCATTTGGGCTCATGTTTATCAGCTGAAGGTTCCACTCTCGTTGGACTTTTTAACTGGACTTGTTACTTGGGTTAATTACACAAGACATGGTTAGAGAATAAGTAAAAGAATATTGTGAGAGAGTCGTAAGCTCAGAGGAAAAAAAAAAAAGAGAGTCGTAAGCTCCTTCCTCATAAACTCTTTGTAACTTTTATGGTTCGATTATGCTGGTTTTCCATTTATAGTAAATTCAGTATAGGTGCTTGATTTGTCGAGATGTACGCTAAATATGGCCAAGCGCCCAAGCCATAACCATTCTAATTTATAGCCAATGTTGTTGCAGTTAAAATTCTAAAACTAAAACAGATAGTCACAGTCCCAACCAATCAATCCCTTAGAGAAATACATATCAAACTTAGAAATCTTTCATTACAATGGAATGGATCGAGCAAGTCAACAATGGATTAGGCGACTAATATGTATAGTAGATGATGTGTTTCATTAGAACTACATATTCCAGAATCAAATAAAAGCTACTTGCTCAAGGACCATACGTATATGAACTTTTTCTTTACGATGGGTCCATACGTATATTAGTTCCACCTTTTCACATTTAAAATTGTGTTCAAGAAAAGTTTCATAAGCGCCAGAATTCTGAAAAGAAAGGAGAGAAAATTTTGGATAATACAAAGTCTACGAAACAAATGGATAATCTAAAGAAATTGGAGAGTTTCATCAACTTAGCTAGCCAGCCACCACATAAATTGAAAATTTATTTTATAAATCAATCATGTCCATAACGGAAAGTTTAGGTGACTCAAAAACTATATAAAAGAGAAGTTAATTGCATTGATTTTACAAGATGGGGTCTTTCATATTTCGGAAAAGCAAAGTTAAAGTTCATAAATTATTAAAGCGAGACCCCAAAAAAAAGACAGAAAAGTGTATAATGTTGAGCATGTCTTAGTGAAGAAGGAAATTAGTCTCATTAAGTGTTCCACAATTACAAATGGGCTTTCTGCTAGAAGATAATCTAACTCTATTGGCAAAAACTGTATACAGTAATTTGTGGAATGTACATTCTAATGTTTATTTCCATAGTTTTAAAGCATGTATCTCAGAAACAAGATATAGGCTTTAACTAGACAGGATATTTACTTTAGTTTTGAGTTTAAGAGTTTAAGAATTAGAAATTGATTAAATCATCAATTAACTCAAAATTTTAAAACTAAAGACTAAAAAAGAGCATCTTACATCCAAACCCCATCCATAATGGCCTTTCAAATTTTTCGGGGGTTAATTTAATTGTGGCCTTTCAGCTTGAACTTTTTTTTGTTTTCCCTTTCCAAAAGAGTATCAAAATGGGATAAAAAGAAAAGAAAATAAGGTTATGACTGTTAGTTAATTTCCTTTTTTTATCGACCAAAACTTTCTGTCGACAACGCCTATTCATATCTATATCGTTTTTACAGTTGCATGTGTACGTTATTAGACATAAGAGTGATAGAGATATTGTTAGATCATATGTACGTAATTTGACGTATTCATAATGAGTGATCAGGGTATAGTAGGACTCTTGTCACTCTTGAATTAAGTAACACTTCTTTTGTTTAAAAGAACTCTTTACATCATTACCTTTAATTAGTTTGTTAAAGATGTACACTTGACAGTTTCCATTTCTATTCTCCACTTTGATAGAATTGCTTTTTTAAAATAACTGCTTCTTCTTTTATTGTTTTGCACGCATCTATAAACGCAAACGTTTTGCTTAAATATTTGTTTAATTTCGATCTTGGATTGGAAAGCTCAAGCCGAAGATGTGATTTGGCGGTGGCCAGACAAAGTTTCCTTATATTTGCATGGCATATACTGATTTACATGTCGTGTAATGTGTATTACGCACTTAAGAAATATTTAAAATGAATTTGGAGTGTATCACCAAACAGTTGATCTACTGTATCATATATAATTTTCTTTATCACTTAAAAATGTATGAATTGTACAAAAAGTATTACTCCCTCTAATTCAAAGTAAAGTCATTATATTTTATCACTTTTCACACAAATTAAGAAAAAATGTTCTATTATTCACTCTTCAACTTTTATTTAGTTTTACATTTTTGTTAATATTAATTAGTTTTATAAAAGCATCTTTAGATTTATCTAGAAGATACACATATATGTAAAACATTATATATGAAGAGAAGATCGAATAAATGATGAAAACAAATGAGGGAATATGAAGAAGATGTGATTGGTCATGACCTCATGGGCGATGATGAACAAATAGCAAGGACAGCTTTTGGGAGCATTGAGAATAATTTTGTGGATAAAGTAAAAACAAAAGCAAGCAAATGTTGTTCACAATTAAAAGTAAAAACATGTAAATAGTACCACATATTTAGATGTTTTCCAAAATAACAATTCTTGGGAAAATTGTATTTTCCACAATTTATTGCAATAAAAATAGATAAAATAAACTTTTTTATTATTATGGATATTTTTCATAGTCTATATATAATAAGCGTAAGCAACACAATTCACGACAAACCCAAGAGAAACTCTCTGCTTCTTCTCACTTCGTTTCCCTAAACACATAAAAAAATATAACAAAACGGAGATCTGCAAATAAATATTCCAAAATCCTCTGTTTTCCTTAATGAAACATAACTGCACAAACTGTTCATTGTTTACCATGACTATTGTTCTTCTTCCTCTGTTTAATCTCTTTATGGCAAAACTCTCTGCTTCTTCTCACTTCGTTACCCTAAATATCACTTCTTTCGAGTGACCTAAATCACTCCCACGATCCCTTTAAGTCCCTTTTCTTGTTTTGTCCTGTATTTTTCTTTTTGCAAGAAATCATCTTGATGGATCCAATTAAGTTCCAACACTTGAAGATGGAGAAATCCAGAGGAATCTTGAATTTCCAAGCAATAAGATCGTTCACGAGCTTGTTCAGACTGATCGAGCTGCTTTTTCTTCTAATCTTGATCTCCAAACTCTCTTTCCCCTCTGTGAGACTCTCTGGGGACATTTTCAGGGAAGCAGCAGTGTTTCTCGTTAGCCCGAGATTCGTTTTCTTCGTCGGAAACGCAATTGTAATTACTCTTTTTGCGAAATCCGGACGATACAGCTCGAGTCAGGAGCCTTTAAAGACAACAGAAGCTGCTGCAAGCAACGATCTTTACCAAGAATTTCTTCACAAGAGTGAGAAGAAGAAATCTATAGTTTACGAGACGAAAACAGAACAACTGAAGAAGCAGAGTGGAGTGAAGAGGGTTAGTTTCGGGAGAAGCCAATCGCAGAAAGCGTTTGAGGCGGTTCAGCCGCTAGAGAGTAGCAATGGTGAGAAAACCATGAAGAGGTATGTGTCGGAGAAGCATATGAGGGTTTGTGACTCCGACAAGAAAGTAGTGGTGAGGGTTAAGAAACCAGAAGATGGAATGAGCAACGAGCAATTTAGGACAAAGATTGAAGCTTTCATTGCGAGACAAAAGAGGATTCAAAAGGATGAAGAGCATTTAATAATCTAGATCCTCTTTGCTAGTGAATATTTGTTTCTGTTTCTTTTTTTTCCTTTTGGTTATTATAAACTTGAATCCTCTGTTTCATAATCTTGTAACTTTGCCTTAGAAAATCTCTTTATCTTTAACTCTTGTAAGCCTTCAAGGTGGTTTAAGTAAATACAACAAATGGTATTGGATGTTACATTTGCTTTTAAATTGTTAGGTTTAGTCTGAGATGGTCTACTTGTAATGACTTGAATTGGTACATTAAATGCGGGTTAGTGAGATTGTATAGCTTGAAAATGGAAAAGACTCATAGAACTCATTATATGTGCTGTTTTAACCAAAATCTTTGTTTTCTGTAGTATTTTTTTTTGGGGTTACACGATTGTGTGAGTTTAAAATTTCCATTGTCAAACTCATTCTAATTATTAAAAATAAGATTTGTAATTTATCCACTGAACGATAAATGATTATTTCATCTCTTAGAGTAAAATTAAAATGAAAATTTTTGAGACTAGTAAGTAATTCGGTCAAGACATAGTGTAAGAATCCAGAGACGTGGACGTCAAAACATTCCAATTTATGTTTCTATTATGCTGAATGTTGTCTGTATTGTTTGGAGTTATGGATGACACTAGAGAATTCTTACTCGTTTTCAATATCATGGGACTGAGGATGAAACACATATAAAGTTCTAGTGGTGATCATTTACAATAACAGTCAATATTAAATTTCTGAATTTTAAAGTAGCGTCTCAACAGTTCGACGATAGTGAAATTTTCATACCAAAATAGGTTTGAGAACATAAAAATACATGGTGACGGTCGGAAATTAACAGTTAAAACGCAGAGATGAAATTTGATCACACACCTCGAATTTAGGTTTGATTATGTTATATCAGACGTGGTTAGTTACACTAAAGTATCGAATATTTGACATACTCACTAGCTAATGCCTAATTTGGAGAGAACTGATAGAAAGTTAATAGGTAAGAATATAAATGGTGTTTCCAAATGCTGGATAGCATTAGGGTTATGGATAAAAGGGAATAGAATTAATAACAGAGGAGGGAATTGTTGGTACTGTATATGTCGTCACGTCATCGATCTTGGTCTCACTTTTATTGGGAATATATTTAGATCCCATTGCAAGTAGTGTAGAAATACCCATAACGTATTTATTTACCTGCAAAAATGTGCTATTGATAAGCCAACACTAGAGTATTGATTCTTTGATATTTGAACTAACTAGAAATTAGGTCTCGGACAGCTTGAAATTTTATGCTAAGACATGAATAACGTAACACTATATTTCAAGCATGCCCGATATTAAGAACATCGGTAATCAGCAAAATGTCCAAAAAAAAATGAAAGCCATGATCAATACTTTATATATACTTATAAATGTTTATGTTTATTTTTTTGTTAAAGATTTATGTTTATGGTTAATAATACATAAATAGCGGTTAATTCTGAGTGAAGTGAAATTATATAATGTGTAGGAACCAAATATCTGGAAAGGTGAAGAGACAAGATACGCTTGGATGAGAAAAGATTGATGCCAATCTACGAAGGATACACGTGAGATAGCCATAAACCTGTAAAGGAACATATCGTATATTATAAAGTATACTTGTAATTTGTTGTTTATTGTATTTTTTATACGTTCTCCTTACATGTGACTAGTTGATAATTGGGGAAAAAAAAGTTACGAATATTTATTCTTTACGAGAAAATTTAGTTATGAATATTTTAAAACGGGTTGGTACCCGTAACAATAACGTTAACACAAAATCAATAGTGTACATGTCATATTTCCTAGTTAAACATGCTGATTACCGTTGGAATTTAGAGTATATATTTTGTATAAATATTTCTATTGACCAAGACATTTTAGATCGAACTTGCATTATAGTGATCACCATATAAATTGAAAAAGGAAATGACGAAAAGTATCCAATCAATATACAACATGACAAGATTGAGGAGGCAGAATTGAATTTATGCCATAACGTATAGTCCATTTTAGGGTCATCAGCATCCCATTCATTTGCTCATGTTACTTAGACAAAACATCACTTAGAATCTCTCCTTTAGCATAAATTATCTATTGTTAACCGAATCAAGTAGAATTGTCTCATTAGAATTGTCTAGATATTTTGGTAGAGCAAATAAATACCCTTAGGATTCTTGGATGTTGACTATCTAAACTAAATAAAAGTATCTTCACGTCGGCAGTGCATCAATCATCTAAAAACTATACATTATATAGCTGATGAGTAGTTTTTGCTAAGCTATATGAGTTCAATTTTATTATCAAGCTAAATCACATATTTTAAAGAAAGACCATGATAAGAGGTTATCTTATCAATAATATCTTATAAAAAAATACGCAATTGTTCATGAGTAACTTTTTCCTTGACTTGAATTCCAAGTAGACTTTGTTCATGAATCATATTTTCTTATTCCAAACGATTAAGATTCTCCACTTAGCTTAGTACAAAGAAAACAAGAATCGTCGATATTCAACTAACTATGAAGTTTATCTGAATAACACAAGAAATTAGGAGCTAAACCGCCATTTTCATATCTATTTTCTTGTGAGGATCATAGCCAATGAGCTCAAAGTCATCCGACACAAAAGAATCTATATCTTTCTTCTCCGGATTTATCTTCAAAACCTGAAAATATCCCAAGATAAATAAGTTATAGCTGCAACTAAGTGTTGGTAGATTATTGCATTCATAAAACTCAAACAAGATTAAGAATCAGTAAATCATGTGTTTGTTTTAACAACTCACAGGAAAAGGTTTTGGTGGGTTCTCAAGTTGTTCTTGCAGAGGCCTGACATGGTTTTTGTAAACATGAGCATCTCCAATCACATGGATAAAATCACCAGGAACAAGATCTGCATAATGTCAAACTATCAATGGATGACCGATTCAAAATCATAACTTTGCACTTTTTTGTAGTGAAAATTTGAATATTACCGCAGACGTGAGCGAGAATGCATGTAAGAAGGGAGTATGATGCAATGTTAAACGGTACACCGAGACCCATATCGGCTGAGCGCTGATACATTTGACAAGACAGTTCTCCATCTGCAACATAAAACTGTGCAAACATGTGGCATGGAGGAAGTGCCATCAGCTTAAGATCAGAAGGATTCCAAGCCGACATTATAATCCGTCGATCATCAGGGTTGTTCTTGATCTTGTTAATTACATCTAAGAGCTGATCAAATCCTTGGCCAGTATAATCAGCATGCATATCTGTGTACCTGTAGAGAGAGATTAACAAATTGTCTCAACAGAGAAATATGTTTTGCCAAAACTCAGAAAAGCTAAGAGAAGCTACTGACTTAGCACCAAAGTGTCTCCACTGAAATCCATAAACGGGTCCAAGGTCACCTTCTTCTCTCTCAGTCAGTCCAATACTGAAATTAAAAGCTTTCAATTTATCAGTGAAATGGCCATAAAGTGTCAAATTTTGAAAGAAAAACGCTGAATAAAAGTTTACCCATCAAGATATGCTCTCGACGCATTCCCATCCCATATACGGATACCCTTTTCTTGAAGTACCTGCCACTTACAGAAACTTCTCAGAAAAGAAACAATATAGTTCATTTGCATACGTTCCACAAGTGGCTCAATCACGGTGCTTAAGGCATGAAGATGATGATAAAAAATCTGTGTTCTTACCTTTGCATTGGTTGAACCGCTTATGAACCATAGAAGTTCCTCAACAACACCTCTCCAGAAAACTCTCTTTCAAGTGAAATGCAAAGAGATCTTGTAAGCTTGGATATGTGAGGAAGACAAAGCAAACTCTCTTTGGGTTTAAAACATGAAAAAAAATTAATGTAACGGTGAGCATACCTTTGTCGTCAGAAGTGGAAAATTCCTCCGTAAATTGAATTTCATCTGTGGATCCAAAGATATGGGGATTAGTTAACTTTTGATAAGCAAACCAGAACAAGACATTCAGATACATATCAAGAAGTAGTAACTCACCTGACAACCAAATTTAGATAATGTACCAGTCCCTGTCCTATCGCCCTTTAAGTTTCCATTTGAGATTATTTCTTTGACCAGATTCAAGTAGAGAAATTCTTCATGACGGTCAAAAATCATCTTAGGAAGAAAAGAAGAAAACTTTTTCCAATCAACTTGAAGGACCTTTGAATCATCACTCTCATCAGAGGATTCACAGGCAGAAGAACTCTTTACACGAACATAAGTCGTGAAGGAAAATCGAAGTCCATTTTCACATATTGGAAATGACGAACACCAAGGCTGATATGCAGATGTGTCAACCGCAGGAATAAATGTATCACAGTCAATACTTGTATCAATCTCCGTTAAGTGGATGGCTTCACAGCTTGGTCCATTTAACGCTTCCCTACAATACAAATACTGTCAAGAGAATCAAAGAAGAATAAAATCACAAAAGAAAATGAGAGTCTTGAGTAAAGAACACACACCTCAATATGTCGCCACCTCCTATTACAAACACCTTCTCAATGGACAGACTAAACGGAGGTGCAGCTAATAAGTCCAGAGCAGAATCTATGCTACTGCAAGTTACGACATTCTCAGTGTTGGCTATATCAATACCGCTAGAACGAGTCAAGACAACATTCAGGCGACCAGAGAGTGGCCTATACTTTGTGGGAATAGACTCCCACGTTTTCCTACCCATTACAACAGCGTTCTTCTTAGCAGAATCCGAAGTGGTCAAAGTTAAATCCTTGAAGAACTTGAGATCGGTAGGCAAATTCCATGGAAGTTTTCCGTCTTTACCAATACCCATTTCCTTGGTTGCAGCTACCACAACTTGGTAGGTACTCTGAGGTTTTGAAGCCATGATCACATTTCCATTGAGAGTGTTTGCCATGGTTGAAACTGAAACCTTGAAGATGTTTGCCAATGAGGATGGCCTGGGAGAAAATTTACAGAACCACCTTTGAGACAAAGGTAGCAAAGCCTGACAATTGAACACAAATAAAAGGTGAGAAGATCAATAAGCTATGCAATTGCAATCAAAAGATTACTTCTTTCAGGACACTTCATTCTAAATAGAACCAAGTACATTTTTCACTTCTAATAAACGCCTAACAGGACTAACTGCAAACATGCGATAATAACACACTCATAACTAAGCACTTATTTAACTCTAACTCAACAAGAAAAGGTAGAGATAGGGCAATAGAACAAAAAACAAGTAAAATGCAAACATAGTCAAGTTCATCACCTACCGATTTAAACGCTAAAGGTAGAATCTTTGCGGAGTTTTGCAAACACCTAATAAGAAAAACCAAAACTTCAGACGAAAATTACAGAATTTCAAAGGCGAATTCAGTTAAAAGTGGCTAAGCAAGCTTCGAGCTCTGATAGCTGAAGGCCAAAACTAAGTGAGAGGGGAAAAAGAAGACAAAACGCTCAAGACCAAACTCATATAAGGCCAATGACAGAGATTCTTGTGTTCTTCATAGAAGCAAGCATTTATACATATATAAAGATATAAGCCAAGCTCTCTATTTCTAAATCTAAATACTTTTCATCAATTACTAAAAACACAGCTCTATAACTAACCTCATTGGAGTTCACCAATATCAATCCGCATTCAAAGTGAATCTACACATTCATGATGTCAAACAGAGCCAAAATCGACAGAAACAAATTCAGCATTCATATTGAATTTACACAGCCCCAAAACAGAATCACTCCAAAAACCTGAGAATTTGCAAAACCCTAACCTTGAGACGGAATTAACCGCATAAGAGATTCCGAGAACAGATTTCAAAATCTGAGATTCCAGGTGGTGTAGTAGATAGAGATAGAGAGTGAAACGCCGCGTCTTAGCAGGTCGGGGCTTTCGGAGAGGATACAACGGCGGGAGAGACGACGGCGAGTCACAGTGACTCGTTTAAATGAACATCGACCCATTAATATATTGGGCCTTTACTGGACCGGAAACAGGCCCTTTTATTACACTGTTCAAACAAAACAAAAACAAATTAATTCGATTTATTTAATAAATATTACTATGAATCATTCACCAAACTATTATATGAAGTTATGAACATGGATAAACGATTCTAAAGTTAATAATTTATAAAGAATAGTTAATATTTAAATAGTTTTTCATATGTATCACTTATTATTAGATCGAATTTTTGGCTTCTCGTACCACGTTATAATTTGTGAACTTATAATTGTGAATGATATATATGCGAACAAAAGAAACAATTGTGTAATCTCAGCACCGTCTTTGGAGAATATCACCATGTGGTGATGGATATGTTATTTACTAATATGAAACTATTTGAATGTATATATGCAATTATCTCCTTAAAAAAACTAAGATTCTTTGTTATTGTTGATAAACTTTAATGATAAAATTTCTTTGGTGTTTCCATTGTTTACTATAAACCAAATTCACTGTATATGTAAATGTATAAATTTGGTAGATAAGCTTACGATACAAATAAAAACAATATCATGAGATACTACTACTAGCTTGGGTTGACATCAAAGATTTGTTTTTTTCAATCGACAAAATGTTGAAGTAGTGGGATGCATTTTGCCTAATACAAAGACATCTTTCTCTCATATTTTATTTATTTACTTAGAAACGATTCGTTGTTCATTAGTTTATAACTAACTCTAGGTATTTTATTTAATAGAATTAATTGGATTTTTTCTAAAAAGTATTTCTATATTATGAAAAAGACTAGGACCCTGTCAATATATAGATTGTTAGAATCAGAACTAATCTAAATAGTTGTCTACATGTTTTCACCTTCTTTCAAATGAGCATCTCCATTATCTTCAGCCTCCCTTACCCCTCCCTAAACAATCTTCTCCAATAAGGTAAAAAAAAAAAAAAAAACTCTCTCAAATTCTCTCTAGCTTTTCTCATCTTTGATCCTAAAACACATTTTGGTTCTTATCTCATCTTGATTCTTTATATTCATCTAATCATTTCTCATACTATTTGATTTAAATTTTCTCAAATGATCTTTACAATGTTGTCTTGGTAGGTATTATTGCCGTGTGAAACAGAGTGCTTAAAAACTCATCTAACCATGGCTGAGACCAAACCTGGTTAGTATTTCACATATTTCCTTAATTCACAGAGATACTTCTTAAGTCTTATGCAAATATCAATTGTTAATCAGAAATAGAGATGTCGGAGGAAGAGAGGAAGATAGTGAAGATGTGCTCGTTGAAGAAGAAAGCGATAAATGCATCAAACAGATTCAAGAACTCATTCAAGAAAAAAGGTCGGAGAAGCAGCAGCAGAGTCATGTCCGTTCCGATTGAGGACGACATTGACGCAGAGGATCTTCAAGCTCTTGATGCTTTTCGTCAAGCTCTTGTCCTTGACGAGCTTTTGCCATCCAAACTCGATGATCTCCACATGATGCTTCGGTATAATTTTTTTTTGTTATTTTATCATTCCTATTCAATCTCTTTATTTTCTTACCTTATTTACAAAGTTATTCGAGACCAAAAAACAAATCATAAAGACTATGATTGCATTCTAGACCATAGTATTATTAGTCAAAGATTAAAGATGATTTGTTAGTTTGGACTAGACTATAACCCGAGAGAAAATTTAGGTCAAAGATTATAGATATCTGACCATATCAGGATCATACCACAAATATTAGACTGCCATATATATTTATTTAAAAGATAAGATGTTTTCAGCTATAAAGTTAAATATTTTTTTTTTTCGATTAATCTCATTTACAGATATACGCATACATATACTTTTTCAAATATTTTAGAAATTAAATCTTATTTTTAAAATCAGACCAAAAGGATTTATGGAAAAATTTGTCAACATTTTCTTTCCTAACATCATTTAATACAATTTAATAAAATTAATTATGAAGAAAATGAAAAGAAAAACCTTAGTCTGTTAGAAAAAAAAAAGAAACTTAAGGTATCCTCTGCTTTTAGTTAGATACGTATCATAATGCTTATATCAGATAATATGGAATTTCATCAAAAAGATTTATATTGTCGTATTGATGAACATAAACAGATTCTTGAGGGCAAGAAAGTTTGACATTGAGAAAGCTAAGCAAATGTGGAGTGATATGATTCAATGGAGGAAAGATTTCGGCGCTGACACAATCATTGAGGTGATTCTTTTTCCTAAAACCTCGGAACATTGAATTGGACCCAACTCTGCATCTCATGTGTGTGAATTTCCGTTGAAAAGTTCTATAATATATGTTTCTAATTGTGATGAAGGATTTTGAGTTCGAAGAAATCGATGAAGTGATGAAGCATTACCCTCAAGGCTATCACGGAGTTGACAAGGAAGGAAGACCGGTTTATATTGAGAGATTAGGTCAAATCGATGCTAACAAGCTACTCCAAGTGACAACAATGGACCGGTACGTGAAATATCATGTCAAAGAGTTCGAGAAGACTTTCAAGGTCAAGTTTCCTTCTTGTTCTGTAGCAGCAAATAAACACATTGATCAGAGCACAACTATTCTTGACGTGCAAGGCGTGGTACGTATACAATAAATTCATTCTTTTATCTCTTTCAATTCAAACGTGGGTAAATTCAAAAGTGTGCTTGTTTTCGAGTGATTAGGGGCTTAAGAACTTCAGCAAATCTGCAAGAGAGCTTCTTCAAAGGCTTTGCAAGATTGACAATGAAAATTACCCTGAGGTATATATATATATAGTTTGATTTAAGTCATCAAAATTGATTGTTTAAAATGCTAATAAATATGTTTTCTTATAAGAGCTCAAGTTGTTGAGTACCGGTTTATCTTGTGTAGACTTTGAACCGGATGTTCATCATCAATGCGGGTTCTGGGTTCCGGCTCTTGTGGAGCACAGTTAAATCGTTTCTTGATCCCAAAACCACAGCAAAGATTCATGTTCTTGGGAACAAATATCATAGCAAATTGCTAGAAGTCATCGATGCTAGGTAATATCACGCGTCTCTGAAATCGTTATGTTCTGCTTTGCTATCGAAAATCAAACATTCATTAGATGTTTTGTATTGTAAACAGTGAATTGCCAGAGTTCTTTGGAGGTGCTTGCACTTGTGAAGACAAAGGAGGTTGTATGCGCTCTGACAAAGGTCCATGGAATGATCCTGAGGTTCTCAAGGTAACTAACAATTTACATATTGCCTAATTAGAAACTGAAAATTATTAAATTAGACTGTTTGTTTTGAATCTCATACATGCAAACATATTTTTAAATGGAAGCAGATCGCTATAAACCGCGAAGCTAAATGCTCACCGATTTCAGAAGATGAACACAAGCATGTAGACCAAGGAAGATCAACTTCAGCTTTGGAAGTAAGTTAAAGAACAATTATATCTTTCAACCAGCTAATTAGAATAAGTTTATTGAGATTCTCCACTAACGTTGCAGAGTCTTGAGGGAATCAAGAAGAAAACCAATGGAGATAATGTGTATGAGAAGCAAATCACTACCATCGACAAGTCAATGGATAAGGCATGGCCAGCAAAAACTCAGAAAGCTGAAAACTTTCCAATCTCTAAAGGTATATATATCTACACTCATGTAAGTAAATTGTTTCTTCTTCTGCACGCACTAAAGTTTCTTTAGGGCTAGAGTGTTATGTTAGGAAAGGGGCACCCAATAAAGGAGATGGATTACTTGTGGGAGGGGTCATGGCCTTTGTGATGGGAATTGTTGCAATGGTTAGGCTATCAAAAGACGTTCCACGCAAACTCACTGAGGCTGCATTATATGGAAACTCTGTCTGTTATGAAGAATCTACAAAGTCTAAGCAGAATCAAGGTCAATTCGCAGCACCAGTCTCGAGCTCAGAGTATATGTTGATGGTGAAACGTATGGCTGAGCTGGAAGATAAGTGCATGTTCCTTGACTTGAAACCTGCTCATGTCGAATCTGAGAAAGAGGAGAAACTTCAGGCCGCGCTTAATCGTGTTCAAGTGCTTGAGCAAGAATTGACTGAGACCAAGAAGGTAAGGCAAAATCTAAACTGCCAGCAGAAATGTTCTAGACAATAACCAAATCTGATTCTTAACCTACAAATCGATGATTGAGTTTGGATTTATTTTTGGTTTAGGCTTTGGAAGAAGCTCTTGTGAGTCAGAAGGAGATTTTGGCATATATCGAGAAAAAGAAGAAGAAGAAGAAGCTGGTAAGAACAAAACACTCAAAATTACATCGGTTATTTTAACTGATACTAATTGTGTTATCTTTTTGATCAGTTTTTCGGGTTCTAACTCCGTGAATGGAAAGAACATGAGATTATAAAGCAAGAGGCTGAATCAAACTAAAAGAGTTTGTTTGTGATTTTGTTTTTCAAATGAGGTATAGATTCAGCTTTAAAGCAACAGACTTGTACATTTATCTGAAGTGAAAACTATATTTATCTTTTTGGCTGTGACATTGTTTGTGTGTGCGTTTTCTAATTTCTCTATGGATTTTCTGTGATTTTATCCACGTGATTAAAGGATAATCTACGTTTGATATTGGATTTATATTATATCACCGTATGTAGCATATTAGTCCCAGAAATTATAGTTTTTGTAAATTGAGTCAATTTAATTGACATAAATATGTAGGGTTTGTAGTTTGGTCATGTGATTGCAAAAGATAGAACACAAATTGAATTTTGTTTTCCTTTTTTTGTCATTGCGTTTATTACTTCCTTTAGTCCTCTCTCTCTTTCGTTGTCTTTCTTTTGGCAGTCCCCACTCAAAGATTGTATGTACCTTCCATGATATTTACGGATCATATTTTTCCTGCAACAATATATATACTTTTTCTTAAATATTTATATTTATTTATAACAAGGAGAGGACCATGTCCGTCGATTTATATAAGAAATTAGATATGTGAAAGCTAATGAAACTTGTTGCCAAACGAATTTGGTTTCTGGTAACAACATTAAAAGGAGAAAAAAGGAAACACGTGTAGATATATCAACCAAATCAATCTATCATCGCCAAGCTTTTATACGTGAATTATTGGAGATTTTGATTGTTATTAGAGATAGCGAAATACACAAAGGTTTCTTTAAAGAATTATATAGACAGTTAAAACAAAACAAAAAACACGCAGAGAATCACATGAAGTCTTTCAGACCATTTGTTTCCTTCAAAGGCCAAAAGATATTTTGACTAAGGTCAGTAGCCACTAGCCACTGTAAAAATAATAATTGTACTTTGGGATTTTATCATTATAATATATCCAATTTAAACGTTAATCAAAATTGTAATCAAGTGAACCGTGAACGTGTAATAAATGGACACACATGTACTTTCTCAGATTCTTTTTGAGGATTGCGGAGAGACGTTTGTCGAAATTGGAGTTACATCATTATCAATGATATGATGCAAATTAATTAACAAAAAAAAATGATGATGCAAATTAAGACTAACGACAATGATCTAAACAAATCCGGACAATTTTTTCAACTGATTTGTGGGTAGCGGATTGGTCTATGTCGGTTGATTTTCTAAATGAAATTGTGTGCTAAGAAAATTTCCAAAGCAAAAAATTGTTATACAAATTATCATTTCCTAAAGAATTTAGATGTTACATACGTTTTTATTCCTATATAATTCAATGTTTTGCGCTGTGATCTCAAGGATTTCGTCGAGCCTTCAATCTCTTACTTGTATTGGTGATACCGTAAATAGTATAAAAGGAAAAAACAAACATGTGTGAGTTACTAATAGTTTCAGCTTTTTTATAACCTTCTTCAAATTTAACCCAATTTTGTTAAGTATCCCCGGAATTTTGGAGGTTCGCATGATTAGATATCTGGTGTGTTTGTACCATACATTTAAGAATTTGTTTTACTAATTTGGTTATACTATTTCTTTTTAACTGTTTTGATTTATTTATAAATACACTAAAAAGCATGTTGAGTGAATGTGTTTGGTGAAATTCATGCATCGTTTTTGGGAAGTGGGCTGGATCAGTGGATCTCTTCCACACTTCCCCAAACTATTAAAGAGAAACTGAAAATAAAAAATGATTTGATCGTAAATTAAGTTTTTTTTCTTTCGTAAATTAAGTTTTGTAAAATAATTTTCATAAATATAACAACATGTGTGATAAGACGGTGGAATACATTGCAGTATTAAATTACTATTCTACAAGTACTTAACTAATTACAATCCTTATATATTATCAGCATCTGAATAATTAATTACCCAGATTAATACGTATAATTGGAGAATAATGATAGGAAGAATAAAATTAGGAAAATAAGAAAAAAAATTAGGAAAAGAAAACAGCTGTGTTGGGTCTGGAGAGTTCGTATCCCAACCTCACATGTCTCTCTCACCCTTTGTTCTTCTTCTGCCTACTTACACATGTTCTTCTCATTTTACTCTAAGCACATATTCCTTTGCATTTCTTAATCTCTTTTTATTTTTATTTCAGGTTCTTCCATTTGTTTATTCACAAATTAGCTATTTTATTTAGTGTTGAAGGTGACTGATTTTTAAATAGTTTCATAGATTTTTCCAGACAAATTCTAGCTTTAATGGTCTTTTTTTTAATAATAATACGCACTACAAATATAGTATTAGTTTTTATTTTCTTCTTGTCGTTACATGAATATATGACTTACTGTTTTACTGAAGAAGATTCAACAAAGTTCTCGCTTTTTTTTCTTTTCTCTAAGGTTTATTTTTTACTTTTAGTGATGATAAAAAGGAGAAACAAAGAAAAAGTTTTGTTTTCCTCTAAAACAAAGAACAGTTTTCATCTGCATTCTTTGTAAAAGAATCTGTACTTTGTTTCTTTTTCTTATTTCTTTCCTCCTAAGAAATCACCGTTACTATTAAACAAAATAAAAGAAGAAATTAGGCAGGTCAATTTTTTAGCTTTTTTGTTTTTATTTTTCTTTGAGTTTTAATTTTCTCTTTGAAATATCTACATCTACTACGACAGTTTGTCAAATTTGAAAGGTAAATCATTTGGTATTAGTTTTCTAAGAACATCAATAAATTTATATTTTCAATATTACTTATTAAATGCATAAAATCTAAATGGGTGTTTAATATTTAACTACAACAAAATTTATGAACAAAACAAAAATTGACAAATGTATTGTCGAGAGTTATTTTAAGCATAAATATAAATCAAATATTTATATTTATATTTTGAATTTTTTGATTATTTTTTCATTTTTAATTATAATAAATGCAAGATTTCTATTATCTAATTTAATTAATATATGATTTGTTTTTCATTAAACAATATAAAAATTTTCTATTTTTTTATTGTTTAATGAAAAGCAAATCATATATTAACTAAATATATAATTTTTTTTTATCAATACCACTCAAAAGAAGAAATATTTTTCTCTAACTTATCTTTCAATTAATTTTTAAATATTTCTTTCAAATATTGCTTTGATTAATGTAGACACTCCTTTATAAACCTTTTTTTAAGGGTAGGGAAAAAATGTTACCAAAAAGAAGTTAGGAAAAAATGTAAAAATAAAGTAAAGAATCTTCTTCCCCAAATAGAATCCAAACAAATGTATCGCTTATCATCAAGTTGCACAAACACTCAAAACGCTTTTTCTTGATTTTTCTTCTATAAATTCTTCCTCCTAAACCATTTCAAAGCCCCCTCTTCTCTCCTTCTCTCTCTCTCGAAGATATCGCCTTTAATTCCTTCATCTTCTTCTTCTGATTTCTTCAAAGATTCATTTCTTAAAGATCTCAGCTTCTGTGAGAACAATCTACCAAAAAAATAGAAAAAAACCTTGATGCTTAATCAGCAGTTCTTGGTGTTTGAGACACATGTCTCCAATAATACTCAGTGAGATCTTTCTCTCTGGGTTTATGTTAAATTCCACAATCAGGCGCAGGACCCATCTTGTTCAATCTTTCTCTGTTGTCTTCCTTTACTGGCTTTACTATGTCTCATGATTTCTGAATACAATCTCCTATTTTATATCTATCTATACGCATAATTAAAACAAAACCCTAGTTTCTTTTCAAATCTTTTCTTCTTCGTTCTTCGTCATCTGGGTCCTGTCCTGTTCTGTTCTGTTCTGTTCTGTTTTTAATTTCCCTAAAAACCCCATTTTTAATATTTTATCTCTCTTCTCGTGAAAAAGGCTTCTTTGTTTTTGTTTGTGTGTTACTAAATGGAATCATCGTCGTCGGGAACAACTTCGTCGACGATTCAAACGTCGTCAGGTTTGGAGGAGAGTCTCATGGAGCAGAGGAAACGTAAACGGATGCTCTCAAACCGTGAATCTGCAAGGAGATCGAGGATGAAGAAACAAAAGCTCCTCGACGATCTAACGGCTCAGGTTAATCATCTGAAAAAAGAGAACACCAAGATCGTGACAAGTGTCAGCATCACAACGCAACACTACCTAACCGTTGAAGCAGAGAACTCTGTTCTCAGAGCTCAGCTCGATGAACTTAACCACAGGCTCCAATCTCTCAACGACATCATCGAGTTCCTCGACAGTAACAACAACAACATGGGCATGTGTTCGAACCCTCTGGTTGGTTTGGAGTGTGATGATTTCTTTGTGAATCAGATGAACATGTCGTACATGATGAACCAGCCTCTCATGGCGTCTTCTGATGCTTTAATGTATTAAATGTGGACCTGAAAAAACCCTCGAAATCACAAAAATGGGGCCGTTTTTCTTTGTCCGATTTAGAGACATGTCCAAAGAGAGAGATTTATATATAAAAATGGGTCTGTTGTTTGATTTGTTTCCATTTCAATTTTTTTTTTGTTTGGGTCCGTTTTAGGCGTTAGGTATCTCAGCATCATCGTTATGAGTGTGTTTGTAATAAAGGCTCTGTTGCCGCATGAGTACAAAGTGTTTACTTAATATTGTAATACGCTTATTAGTTTCTTTTTAATTAATCTTAAGTACTAATCCCATTTATATATAGTTTAATTTCTTGGGCATTAATAGTAAATAATTGATTGGTATCGTTATAAGATAGTAGTAAAGAGTTACTTACCAAAAAAAAGATAGTAGTAAAGAGTTTAGCATGTACATACCAAAATATGACTTACGCTCTGCATAATCATGTTTCATGCCAATCAAATATTATAGGCAGATAAAATTGCTTGTAAGAATATTTTAGTGTCTGAATTGATAACTCAAACTAAGAAATCAAAATTTACAGATTCTTGTAAAATATTTTAAACTTAATTATGGTGAATTTGGAGGTTTTTATGTGTACTAGACTTATAGGTGAAATCCTAGCCTCTTGTATTCTTTGCTTTTACACATCTCATCTTTCAATTCGATTTTCTTATCTTGAATTTCTTTTTAGGATTTTATATTTCAAACTTCAAAGTTCAATTTAGCACCATTCACCAATAGATCCAATATACAAGTACATCACAAAATAATGGTTATACTACATCGTGAGCAATAATGGGAATCCTATTCTACTCTTTTGGCAGAACTATACTTTTAGATGCTGGATAGTTTGTTTTATATCCATTGATCACGGATTGTTCATTTCATGGATATTATAAATAGAAAGTCTCTTTTTATTTTTATATAAAGAAGTCTTCTATTTGATAATTGCGGTATATATTTTCTACCTTTATTTCAAGTTTAGTATTCCTTCTTGAGAATATCGTACATGTGTCGAGAGACTCGAGAGATTATAAAAAAGCATCTTATGTGTTTTGATCTAGGCTCTTAAGAACATTGAAAAGATATGTAATTAATTGCTTAATATTTAGTAGTTTTCGAAGATACCAAAGACCCAAAACGTAAGTTAAGGGGTTCATTAAAAAAAACCAAAAGTGAAGTAAAGGAGTTAGTTGATATAAAACCAGAATATCATTTTATTTACAAAAAAAACAAGGAAAAAAACACGATGATAGAAAATCTTAAATTAGTGGGATAATAATCGTGCATAATTTTAACAAATAACATGAATTTTGTAATATATTATTTTATCCGATAATACACTTGTTAATAGTTATCATGCAAATATCACCTTATTCATTTACGAATTTACAATCATAACTTTTGTTTTAAATAATATCTTCCATATATAGCAAATGCACCTTTTATAATAACCGTTATAAAAAGATTAGAAAACATAATAATTTGGAAGCTAAGTCATAATCAATTATGGCAAATTTGTCATGTGCAGGGAACAATATTTGCCGGTACTTGACCTAAAAACACATGATGATTCAAAGACTTGAATAGTAGATCGCCTAATTAAATGATTTTATAACATTCGTTATCCTAGATCTACCTGAACAACATAATTGATAATCAGTCGGTTTATGTATACAATATTTATGCATCTAAAGAATATAATATAATGTTCTTTTGGATATATATAAGATAATATTTTTTTGCTATCAGTTTATTATAATGGACTTGCCATTTTGCCAACAACGTAAAGATCTTTTACATGACGTAATATCAACCTGAAAAATATGATCAGACCATCGCAAGGAGGTTGTAGAGAAGTATAGGAGCCACAAGATGGTCGTGACTCGTGAGTCGAATTTCAATCCATAGAGACATATGGCATTTGGTTACGTAGATTGTGGGTTGGTTTATGCCTAAATAAACTCGATTTACTATACTCTAATCCCACGAATAAAGCCATTTAAAAACTCCATAAACCTTTTTACGTAAACCCTAACATTTGGTAGCTTCACGTCCATTATTTACCGATTCTATTCAGTGGGTGAAATTAGAATTTGTCAAACAGCTTGATTTTGATCTACATTATATAACATACACCAAATAGTTTACACGAATGTCTGCAGATATTCTTGAAGATTCCCTCAGATTGAAAGATATATGCTTGAGTGTAATAAGGGAAAAATAAAGACAAAAAAAAGAAAGAAAAGAAGAGCTTTAGTCAAACCTCTTAACGATTAGACAAAACTCAAAAGGAAGAAGAAAATCCCAAAAACAAATTTATGATTAAAAACGTTTTTAGTGATGCTCACAGGCGAAAGAAACGAAGGTTGTCTGCCAGTGTCACATTTCTTTTGTATTCTCACGTAACATGCAAAGGTATCAAGGTTGTCAAAATCATATTTGTCGGTATCGAAATAATATGTCAAATTAGGGTAAAAACGTCATTAGAGTTCCGTAAGCTATTTTCCCAAATTTTGATTAGTCCTTTCTAATAAGCCTCAACAATTGACCATAATTTCAACCATGTTACGGAGGTCAAGAGGTGATTAAAAAAAGACATGATACATCGTCCCTTAAATATATGTATTTTAAAAATATTGAAATTCTTAACCCTTTTTTTTTTTGGTAGAATGAGGGAGACTAGTCTCCCATATTATTAAGAAAAAATAAAATTACACAACAACGTTTCGTGGGCGTGTAGCACCACTAGCATCCTCAAAAATAATCGAAGTAGCAAAATCAGGCCTAAGATGAAAACTATGAAAACCTAATGGTAAAGTAAAGGCATAGTTAGCTAGTTCGTCGGCAAGACGATTAGCTTCCCTATACACGTGAGAGATACGGACAATCCAGTCCTTCGAAATGAAGCCATAGCACAGTCGTACTAGGAATGACAAGGGATGCGAATCGCTAATCCCTGTCGTAAGAAAACCCACCACCATCTCTGAGTCCACCTCCAACTCTACCCGCGTAGCTCTTTTTTCCTAAGCTATGAACAGCCCATAATAGACACCCCATAACTCAGCCAAAGGAGCCGAACACAAACCTATGTTCACTGCGAATCCTCCACACCACATACCATTGCTGTCCCGTAACACCCCACCAGCTGTAGCTCGTCCCGGGTTACCACGAGACGCACCGTCCGTGTTCAACTTCAGCCATCCCTCACGTGGTGGAACCCATGCTATCTGCCGCTCCACCCGAATCACAGCCTTGTTCTGGTTCCCAACTCCCGAATGAGCCTCCACCACCTCCTTGGCTATGTCTTTAATAAATCGAACCCTATCTCGGCATTTCCTGTTCTCTCCAAAAACATTCCCGCATCGCCATTTCCAGCCCCACCAAGCTGCCAAAGCAAAAATAGTAGACCAAGGGTAACCACCAATCAGTTCCTGTTCTCCCAAGTTACTATAAACCCATTCAAGCAGTGATTGAGAAAAGAACACATGCAACCGCCCAGGAGGAAGTAAGCGAGTCCATATGCCAGCCATTGCCGGACAATCCCGTAGGATATGTAGGATAGTCTCTTCACCACTCTTACATACTTGACATAAATCCGTGTCACAAAGATGCCTCCTCTTCCTTTCCACATTGGTCATAATAGCCTGATTAACAACCAACCAGAAGAAAATCCTCACACGTTCCGGCACCACCACCCTCCAGACCCGATAAAACAGCTTCCCCGAGTCTTGACATACAACCTCATCTCTTGTAATTGTCGAATACGCAGCTTTCACTGTGAACTTTCCATCCGGGCTGTCTCTCCATGAGAGTCTATCCGGAGCACCTGTCACAACATCAACCACAATCGCGGATAACATTAGTCTTGTATTATCCGAAATATGTGGTGTTATCCGCCTAAGATCCCAGCCTCTCTCATGGTTCCATAAATCTCTAACTGTAGCCGCAACTAACTCCTCCGGTACTTCCATTATCACTGATTCAATGATGGACCTTTTTCCCAACCACTTATCTGTCCAAAACTGAATTTTTGAGCCATCACCAAGCACCCACCCGAGATTAGGTAGGATTACTTCCCTTAAACCACTCCCTATGCTGCGCCACGTCGAAGACCAGTTACCTTTCACGACTGTCCACGTCTTATCATGAGGATCCCCAACTTTGTACTTACTGCGTAACACCTTTGCCCAAAGGCTATTCTTGTCATGTAAAAGCCGCCACCCAACCTTGGACAAGAGAGCTTTGTTCATAGCTTTGGCTGATCTAATACCCAATCCTCCTTCCAATCTTGGTCTGCAAACTCTTTTCCAAGCTATTAGATGCTGTTTTCTCTGCCCCGTATGACTGCCCCATACAAAGTCCCGCGCAACTCTGTCAAGGCTCTTTATCGTAGATCCCGGCAACGCAATCGTACTCATTGAATGAACTGGGATAGACGCAAGTACTGATTTCGTGAGAGTGACTCTTCCCGCCATGCTGAGAAACCTTCCTTTCCACCCCGCCAATCTTGAGGACAGCTTCTCTAATACGTCACTAAAAGTATCTTTATTGATCCGCTTGTGTAGAATAGGCATACCCAAGTATTTTCCCAACTCCCGCGTCGCTTGGATACCACTTTCTTCACTGATCAACTTGGCCAAATCTCTATGCACATTCTCTGAAAAAAATATTTTTGATTTTTCCAGACTCACCTTCTGGCCCGATGCCGCACAGAATCTCTCCAATATGCCCCGGATTATTTTTATTTGCCCAACAGACGCCTCCGCAAACAAAATTAGATCATCGGCAAAGCACATATGTGATATCTTCGGTCCTCCTCTCGACAAGCTGATTGGCTTCCATTCTTTCTTAGCAACAGAAAACTCAATTAGGTGACAAAGCCGTTCCATACACATCACAAAAAGATACGGTGACAGCGGGTCACCCTGGCGCAGTCCTCTTGAAGGCTTAAACGATTCCGTCTTCTCTCCATTCCACAAAACAGTCATTGACGGACCCGTCACACATTGCATTATCCAAGTGATC